CTATTCCGACCCGGAGATCGTGTCTGTATGGTGAAGCCTGGTTGCATGCGCAAGTTCCCTCGCGCTTTGGAAACAAGCGTATTCAAACTGCCCGATTCGCTATCATTCGAACTTGTTACCTCTATACTCGCTCCTGGCATGGTGGCATACCATGCTCTTGTCGATATTGCCAGAATACAACAGGGTGATAAGATTCTTATACACTCAGCTGCAGGTAGCATGGGCCAGCTAGCCATTCAGGTTGCTAAGAAGCAAGGTGCCGACATCTTTGCTACTGCATCATCGCCTGAAGCGAAGCAGTTCCTAGTGAAAACGTATAATATTCCCGAAAACCGCATCTTTTACGGTCAAAGCGCCCTATTCGCGAAAGGGGTAATGCGCGCCACACGGGGATATGGCGTCGACATCGTCTGGAACTCACTGACGGGCAGCGATGAATTACAGGCTTCATGTGAATGCGTAGCTCCCAATGGACATTTCCTCGAGATCGGCCGCGGCAACACGACGGCAAATACCACGCTACCCATGGCGCTATTTGCTAAAAATATCACCTTCTCGGTGGTCGATATCACACGCTTGAAACCGAGAACTACAGCTAAGCTACTCGAAAGCACAGTGCAGCTGTTGGGTGAGGGTAATATTCAGTACCCTCAGCCGTTGCGCGTGTTCGAAGTGAATGAGATCCAACAGGCTTTCGAGCAGCTGCAGGATGGCGGAGAGATTGGCCGCATAGTCATTCGCCCAACACCTGAGAAGGTAGTTCCAGTAAGTTAACCACCAGAAAGCCTATTGTCACGAGTTGACAACAGCCACGCTCCCAATTTACCGAATGTCGGGCTGACATGTGCACATAATAGCAATATATAAAAGAGCAGCGTTCGTGGAGATTTGACGAAAATGCGTCGTACCTGATCGCCGGCGGATCTGGTGGTGTAGGTCGAGCAATTACTCGGTGGATGGTGGACAGAGGAGCCAAACATCTAATTATTCCTTCCAGATCAGGTGCCAAGTCCAAGGCCGCTGCCGAGACGGTGGCCGAATTGAGGGCGCGTGGTGTTAACGTCTACGCCCCAAGGTGCGACGTGTCATCAGAAATCAGCTTGGCTTATGTGCTAGAGGAGTGCTCCCACACTATGCCACCCATCAAGGGGTGCATCAACGCTACTGTTGTCCTTCAAGATGCCATATTCCAGAATAGCATGACATATGAGCAGTGGAAGCTTCCGATCCGCTCCAAGGTACAGACGTCGTGGAATCTGCACCGTCTCTTACCCCAGGATATGGACTTTTTCATCCTCCTCTCCTCTCTTGCCGGTATCAATGGTCAATTGGCAAGTTCCAACTACGCCGGCGGTTGTTCGTTCCAGGATACGCTCGCCGCCTACCGTAGGGCCAATGGTCAGAAGGCGCTGTCGATCGACCTCGGCTGGATGCGCAACGTTGGGCAGATCTCTGAAATTGGCGAATACCAACGCCAACGCCAAGAGGCTGATGACATGCAACAGACTGATGATACCGAGTTGTTTGCCCTGCTAACACTGGGATGCGACCCGACTAACCCGCTCCCGATAAGTCAGGTTCTGTTCGGTCTACGCACGCCCGCCGACGCCCTTGCCCAGGGCCGAACGCCAGCAGCTATTCTAGACCGGCCACTGTACGCTGCTTTTTCGTACATCGTGGGCTCCGGGTCAGGCGCAGACAACACGAGTACAAGCAGCAACTTAGCCCCCGACCAGCAAGCGGCGGCCCTCTTTAATCAGGCGAAAGACTCAGAGGAGCGTGTTCAGGTTGTATTGAAAACACTGGCGTCCAAATTAGCTCGGGCTATGTCTATAGCACCCGAGGACGTCGAACCGAGCAAGCCACTATCGGCATATGGTGTTGATTCACTCATGGCTGTACAAGTAAGGAACTGGATCAACAGAGAATTCAGCGCCCCGGTGGGTGTATTTGAGATTATGGGTGGAGTATCCATCGCGGGCATTGCTGAAACGGTTGTAGCAAAGAGCACGGTTGGATAAGGTACGGACGGAATGAATCAAGTTTGGGTTTGGAAACGAGTGGAATGATAACGTCGATATGAGATTTTTTGTCTCTCTCTCTATTTCATTTGTTATAGTATCTAATAATATCAATCAATTATGATACTTAAGAAACGGTGAAGACGCGAGGCGAGGAGGCATAAGTACGCTGCGTGATACGCCAAGATCACATGACGGCGTAGGACTGCATATATACTTCGTACACCCATGCATTAACCAATAGGGGTCTCAATAGTGAAGGTCAAAGCGTCTGGCGGGTTCTACATCTGATAACCCCTCCTATCGGGATCAGGACCGGTGACCGTTAAGAACACTTTGACAAGTCACCCCAGACCGAGATAACACATCATTATGAAGGATTAGGTATAGTTATAGCTATTGCTTTAAATAATAACCTATAGGATTCCTTACTGTAAATACCCGGATCAACAAGCGAGCGGGACTACCTAGGATGGTGAAGAAGCGACATACCAGGTAAATACACAGTATTAAATTCCAAAATACTTTCATTAGAAGTTCTAAAGTGCATAATATAATAGAGAAACCCCCCCAATACATTGTGATATAAATAAAAAAACTACCTACTATTTAGTATTAGCAAAAAAAAGTGTATACCTCATATAGAATAGCACGGTATCTACCTTTCAACTGGTTATTAATATAATAGTTAGGCAGTTATTATGTTCAACATAGACTTTAACTTTTCCTAAACGAAAACAATGAGCAATAAGCCAGCTGCTGCACGGATTATCCAATGACCTAACCTATATCATCGACAATTATAAATACATGACTCGGGTTTCCGAGTAAGCTAAGCCTCGTAAGGCAAGTTGCACCCCTAGCCAGCCCTGTTATGCAACCTTAATTGTCTACCCCTGACTTGAAAAATTAAAGTTAGAAAGGCCATGTTGAAAATCTATCTTTTTTCGACCGCCGAATTCGTTTCTGTTTTGACGGTATCCCTGCCGGCATTCTTCAAGACCAAGACTGCTCTACGTATCCTTGCCACTGTCCTCTCTCAGCTGCATGCCCCACGGGAGAGCGGTGTAGCGGATTCGTATGTATGTATGTAAATAGCTTCAGCCATAAGGATCTTCGGTAGGCTACCCAGTCCCAGGGATTGATATCCTATGTATGAGCCGGGTTCCTGGCATTGCCGGGCCATCCGATGCAGGGTACTTGGAGCCTTGTACACTATGTATGCGCCGTCGAGATGCCGTTCATCAAGGGTGCCTGGCTTCTAGCGAGCTCCTTTAGGAAATTGATGTCTTCGACTACACTATCGTTATGCGCCCAGTCCTGCGAACACGGCACGGCCTGGTTACTGTAGTGTAGACCGAGGCGGCTGAGGTACCGTCGGTTACTTGCGGATATGGCTTGGCAAAGAACTCGAGTCTTTTTGAATAACTAGGTATGTAGTAGTGTTGTAGATAGCTTGACGAAATATCCCCAGTTTGGATTTCGCAGGTAAAGTCATGTCTAGACATACACCGAGCGCCTGTGCAAGAATAGAGAGATGTATGATTGAGATAGTGACACGACACCATCCATTACCGTCGATCAGATGTAATTGTGAAATAGCTCCGTGTATTGTGATCCAAGTTGCGTCCCATATGATACGCCTACTTCCATTAAACGGATTTACCTATACAAAACCACTAAACTACCAGCAGCAAGGAACGCTGATACCTTTTGACAGACCTGCATCTCAACACTCATTTGATAAACGGGTACCTGAGGTTATGAGAAGACAATATCGATAGTTTAGGAGTTTAGCATCGAGATACGGCAGTCTGATTCTTATATGCTAAGAATAGTCGTCAGATTTAAACGGCTTAGATACCTATGTATTGGACGTGAGCACTGCTGACATGGACTGTAAGAATATCGTATTGATGTCATAATCTCGGCTCTCTATTTAATTAAAGAAATTCTGTACTACGAATCATAGAGAATTATTCTTTCTATTCTATTTAAACACTTAACTATCTACCTAGGTATGCATACGTCATCGTCTTAGAGCATCTTTGAGAGGCTTGTTGATAGATCGCTGCATAACAACAAAATAGGGGATTATGAGTAGCGCCTGAGGTTTGCTGCGTAAGCTAGCTATGCTCAGGAAGATATTAGTTACTGTTTTGAGTAGTTATGTAGCGTAGGCTGTCTATAAGAATATATTCGCTATGGTCGTGGTCTATTATCGAGCAAAGATTCGTTTTGGGTATTTATTGTGCTCGATGAGAAAGAGAAAACCTACCCATCTGAAGCAGACCGCCAAAGGCTATAAATTAACAACCTTCAACCAACCCTCTTTAACTAATACTTATTTCTTGAAATCAGTGGCTTCCCGCATTTAACCCCCATCCCATTATGGTTTTCTTTATGAGTGACCTGGTTATTATTCTCTCAGCTGACACAACTTTGCTACAAGTCAATGTAAGATACCGACCTAGCCTTAGAAATATCGTTTGCCTTAATCGACGAGCGGCTCCGTAGGGTTACGAGGACTACGCCTGTGGAGACCAACAGCTCATTGTCAGTGGAAAAACAATCGTGTGTGCTGTCCTAGTATAAGCAAGACTACGGACGGCAAAACATACTACTACAACGGAGACGACGACCGTCAAGATATCAGCTCCTACAAGGAAGCATTCGATGTGGATGATCCCAGCTATGCCGAGAACGTCCAGAGCAAGCTTGAATAACCCTTAACCCTAACCCTAACCCTTAACCCTAACCGTCCACACCCCTAAGGATTAGTTGTGTCGTCAGTTTATTGCTAACTTGGTTCATATAGGCACAAGAACCATTACCAAAGATACTCTGATGCTTGGAGCAATATTTAGCTTGGCTTCTGTTTCCGCGGCCATCCTTGCATTTAAGAGTACGGTGGTTGGTTAGTGTACTATATTGTATATTGTTCTCCTCATTGAGAATTCGCGCACAGCATGGTATGGCGTTAAGGGTTCATATTACCCAGAAAGAGCGGATAAAGTGGTCTTTCAAACGGTGAACATTACATACATAGATTCTTTAAATATATACATCATTACTATTCTCCGGTACAGAAATTTTCCCTCATATAGGACTAGTTAAATTTCTTGGGCCAAGCCATCGTTGACACTCCTGATAATTGAGCACCTATACCGCCTTTCCCCAGATCATCGTCCCAGGAGGCTATTACATTGCGAGAACACAGCTGACTCTGTCCATCGCCTGACGGACTGTTGTCGATAGCTGTCAGTTTCTTCCAAGACGCCAAGAAGGTAAGCTCGTTCAGGAGGCCCTGCAAACATATATGATATACATATGTGCCTGCTGAACGATGCCGAGCAAAGCGGTTTCAAAGATAGGGTATATCGGCAAGACCTCCAGATCCGTCCGCTCCATTCGAGACATTCGGCTTCTAGGCTTGGGTCGTTGATGTCTAATATCGCATTCAACTCTTGTCTAAGAGTATTTATCACGATGTTAATCGAGGCTACATTGGTGAAATGCAATGCAGTTACGCCGTTGGGGAACATGTAACTCGTGCTAAAAGGCGATTCTGGATCATCTTCTTCGTAAATAGTCTTGTTCTGCAATAGGGGCTGTACGGTTTTCCGGTCAAGCGCGCGGAAATTTTCCCCTACGTCGTTAAGAGCTATAGAGAGCGCTTCAAGAGCCTGCAAGTCTTGGAGGTGCTCGGGGATGTTACGGATTTTTGCGAAGCGTCTTATAACATCAGCAAGTACCGTTGGCTGGTGGATGATCTTAGATATCTCGACGAGAATTGGCGTTCGGGTCTTGTATTGAGCGAAGAAGCTCACAAGTGCATTCTCCCAGTCAGGTCGCGTGAAGAAGTTGTCGGTGTCACCTCTTATGAGAAGCTTGAACTATTAAGTCTATTAGCTAAGTTCAATCCGTAGACTCAGGACCTGTCTATAGTTTACTATAAAGCCGAAGGAGTCGAGTATGAGTTGGCAGCCAATGTCGTCTCCCGGCTTAGGGGCTCCCCTTTTCATCATTATGGCGTATATCCCATTGCAGTGAGGTATCTGATCGATGCCTTTCGAGTAGTCAAATAAATGCTATATCGACATTAGTTAGACTACTTATCTAACGATTACTGTAAGGCTCCTTGCCTCGACTATTTGAAGATAAATGGTTGCAGCTAGTGTAGCTGATGATGTTTGCTTCTGCGGATCGTTTAAGGCTCTTTGTAAGCTGCGGAGGGCGCGATTGTAAGATACAAGACTGAGAACATCATGGGAGTTCGCTCCCCGGCAGAGGTGTAACCATGTGGATACAAGGAGGTTGGTGGCATCGTATAAGGCCTCGCTGCTCTCGAGGAGGGGCGGTACGTATCTCAATGTGCTCAAGAATACTGTTAGGCTATACCCTGTTCCCTCGCTGCTGTTAAGATGGTTTATTAGATTGCCTGCCAATAGATCGGCTTGAGTTCCGGATAGTTTGTTTGGTATTCGTTGTTTCTGGCTCCATATTCTAATTTTAGAGAAGGTTGAGCCGTTTATAGTAGTTTTATTCTTGAGATTTAGCCAGTTTGTATTGGTGCTGGTGTCCAATCCCTTGTCCGTAAGACTTGTAACCGCATTCTTTTCAGCTTGGCCAACTTCATGATTATCTCGACGAGTATGTCTTCCACCATGTACGAACTTGACGCGCTTTGATGGGCCGGAACATTCCTTGCCTGCCTTTCTGCAGCTTCCGCAGGTTGGCCAAGCTTCGTCACACTACCGGTAGGATGTAAGTCAGCCAATAAATAACTTATTCAATTGCCGCGTAGGGCTGCAGCTGAATAGCTGAAAAACGCACGTACCTTGGTCTTCCGCCACCTACAAAAGTCGCACCTATTACTCTTTGGTACGCCAACCATTTTCTTAACGCTTGATGGAACTTATCGCGACTTAAGATAATCTGCTATTGGTGTCGCTTTATGTTTCCATATGTAAGCATCTTTATCTACATATTTTATATAAGCCTACGCTTCACCCGTTGTTATACTCGGGGTAGCCGTCGTAGGACTTGTTGCGATAGCCATCGAGTTCGTATCACGAACTACAAGATTGGCTTAGTCGTTGACTTTTCAGGGGTTGATTAACAATTATAGTACCTTAGGTACCTGTAATACGACCTAGCACGGACTCCGTCTGGGGCTATGCCAACCAATTATCATTGCCAAGCTTGCATTGTACAGCATGGCTTAGCATCATCCATCACCTAACCTAGGGCTTTAGGATGCTGGGACGCCACGCCCATTCTGTCAATATCGATGGAACAATGACTTTAGAGTAGTAGGGCATATATTAAAGAGGTTTAAACTAGTCGTTGGAACTCTGAGCTTATTTAAATGTTTATCTATTAAATACAGCGAATGAATGACTAAACGAAAACGAGCGACACCCAAAGACTTAGTGAACTCAGTAGAGCAACATTGTTAATACAAAAAGCAGTAATGTTTCCTCCCCCCTTTTTTTGTCTTATCCTTTTATAATTCTACCGATGCACACGGCTATTATCCGACGTACTACTGCGACTCTAAGCGTCGGCTATGTCCTCGGCTTTTACACTTATAATATTCTCTATGTTGTTTACTTTTTCCTTAAGTGAGCGTACTAGGCTCTCGAGCTCGTTGTTCCTATGTAGGTCCTGACTTCCATACATGCCCGAAGGTAGGCGTCCGGACCACCCAGGAGGTTGTGTGTCGAAGAGTAATGGCTGTGGAACTGTAGTTCCGGGATGCTCGTTGTTATCTACTTTAACTGCGTTATAATAGCTACGACGGAGCTCAGTATTCTCCTTTGAAGAATTTGAGATGGGCCAGGGTGGATAGCGATGATTCGCTTGAGTAGATGAGTCCGAGTTTTGGTTATGTGGAGTGCGTCTAGAATTGGAATCAGCTTCTGAAGTTGTCTCGTTGTACATAGTTTCAAGTGGCTAGAAAAGGTCATAATGGTTCATAGAATACTTACTGATTACCGCCATGGTTGCTTTTTTCGGGATCAGTAATAACATTTATAAGCTTCCGCAACACTTTTGGAATCAAGATCTTCCCTTCGAAGTTGAGGCCTTGCTTGGTCTCAATTCCCCCATAGCCATGAAGATCTAGTCTCCCCAGAAGTATGTCGATATTCCGTGCGTAGTCGTTTGGAAATTCTTGGACATAGTCCTGAAATATCTTTGACTGTTGCTCACCCCATCGATATCTTGTTCCTTGGCGATGTTGATATACCTGATGATCAAAGAGAATATCATCCGGTTTTCTTCGTGGCCTGTCATCCGAGAGTAATGAACTGCGTTGATTAAAGGTACGCATGGCTGTCTACTTATTGCTAAGAACGACGAGTAATGAATATGTATTTTAACTTGAAATTGATGTTTTTGGTATGTACGATATCTATGGCGTGATGTGCTAGATGATAGAATAATATGATGAGTATTAACTCGATATTTATATCCCGTGGTCGCGACCCTAAACTAAACTGAATAAAGGGAAGAACACCTAAAGAGAATATGATCGTGTCATGTATCAACTCTTCCCCGTAGAATATGCGTCGAAAGAGTAAAAGCTATGGAGTGACTTACATAGACAGAACATGGGTCTAGTTTCAAACTGCCACAATTTATAAGACATAGAATTCGTTTACCTAGGTTAGGTAGCTATAAACAACGCAAGCGGTCGGTTTGGGAGCTACCTACAGAACTGGACTACTAGCTGACGTGGCATAACACATCTCCTGAAACTATGTTTATAAGGTGACTTTTATACCCTTTGAAAACTCAGTAAGGATCCTTGCTTGAGTAAGACAGTCGTATCTTTACCTGTGACTAGTACGAACATGTTTATGCGTATGATTGGGGAGAATCAACTTTCATAGCAAGGTTGGCCAACTAAACAAGCGCAGTAAAGTCTTCTTGAGAGACTATGGTATCATGCTCCTGTAACACCTTTACTTATGCGAAACGTAGAATGAATCTGAAAGTCAGTGCTGGGAATGCCGGATCCGTCACGGCAACTTCGTGATTTACGTCCAACCCTAAACCTTCCTTTAGGGTCTTGTCCAAGTTTGATCGGGTTTGCTCCTCGATGCTTGGTGGGAATTGCATATATAACGTCTTGCCTTCGGCTCTGATTGAGGGTTTCTTCAACTGGAGATCGGCCTTTGTAGAAAAGGAGTCAAGGAGTTCCCTCAGTGTCCAATTGGGGTCGACTTCTAGCGGCTTGGCCACTTCACCACACACAGCGCAGTCCTCTTTCTTGTCGTACTTAAAAGTGTTCGTGTAGATGCTGTCATCGCCGGAATACATCATGTAACTCTCCTCAAACCCGAGCGCGGGCGCGGCTGCGGTGGCTATCTTCAAAGCCTCGTTGCAGCAGCTCGCAGCAATGATAGCGTTAGTGGACGCTATTGCTGGTATAATGTTTTTGACGACGCCTTGGGTGAGTGAGTAGGTAACACCGGTGATACCAAATTCTTGAGCTCGTGCGAGAGCTTTACGATATAGCCATGTGATATGCTCGGGGTCGTCCTTGTCTAAGCTTGGGAACGGTTTCTCCTGGTCCCATGCAATAATATGAGCCCACTCTATGCAGTGTTCGGGCTGACGGGGGATAGTGGCTAATGTACAAAGCGGTACGGCCGCTCTTGGAGTATAGAGGTCTAGCTGACACTCGATACATGGTGTGAGGGTTGGGAATACGACCCTAGTTTGGCCCTTGAATCCTAACCTCGGTTAGATTGCCAAAAGTCCCTAGAAATATGGTGCGAGGAAATGCTACCTTCTGTTCCGCCGTCAATCAATGGCTTCAGAGAGTCCTGGTTGTCCATATCTACCATGTTCACGAGGGTCGCGTTGATCCATCGCCGTGCTTCGATGCTGTCGAGACCACATACAACCAGCTGGAATTGCATGTAAAAGTCCTCATCGAACTCTTGGATTCGGCAGTTATGTGGGGTAATCTTGACGCCTTTAACTCGCTTCTCGACGAACTTGGCGGCGACTTCTGCTTTGAACTTGCCTACGTCGTCTTTGCGAAAGAGGAATTGGCGGTTGAGGTTGGAGATATCGATGGTGTCTGGTGCGAACGCAAGAAAATTAGTCTCATATTGGGGTTGTAAATAGAATGACTTACCCATATCTATGACATGAATGTCCTTAAACCCAGAAAGGGCGAGGTTCTTGAGTATCTCACAACCGAGTCCGCCAGCACCAATAACAAGGATCTTGGTCTTGTCCAGCGTCGCGAGAGCATCTTCGCTTACATCTGAGTCCTGATTGAAAGGACCAGGTGTCCTTCGAATGCGGTCTAGATATTGCCATCTTGAGGCACCGTTTTGTATTACGGCGGTCGCCATGATGTGGTCTCCTGGATGCTGCGCGGTGTGCCTGGTCCGAAAAAAGAGGAAGCTTACTTTAGGTACCTAACCTAGGATCTCGGAGCTCTTGAGATGAAGGGGGATTTGATGTCATCTTTTATCGCCGATAGTGATATATAGGGGCGCTAAAGGTGGGGTATTATCCTTTAAGCGGGTCCTTACCTAAGGTGACCACAGGATATTAAAATATACAGTATCTAATTTACCTATAAACTGAAGCCATTACAGCTGCTAACAGGTAAGGTTCCATTCAACATCATTCTTAATAATTCACCTATTTATGAAAGGCTCATATCGTGAGATGTGAAGCATAAGTAACTCAGAAGAGACGGATTTTATTATTCAAATAAAATCAACTACCTACCTACCTAAGCATGTAGATTCCGAATCGACGGAGCGAGTATCATGCTAAGAAGCGATAATCCCGGATAATTCAATCATATAGGACCGTCTCATTTAGGATCGTCGATTATCAAAATGGAAGGGTTACTCACTCCCGTGAGCCAGAATTACCGTAAATCCAGCCAGCATGACGAGCTGTTCAAAATTTCCGAACCCGCTAGATCTACACCTAAAACGCAGACCGAGTTCAGTAGCTCATCCCCAGAAGAGGCCCTTGAAGCTCTCAAGAGCCAACCAAGCTATGATCTTCTGCTATCCGTATTAAAATACTTACAAAAGGGCTTGCGAGGTGACCATTCCTTCGATATCCGAAAGCCAACTCCTCAAAGCGCCCAGATCATACATGTCTTGGTTACTGAGATTGTTCCCAATTTTTGGACTGTGCTACGAGATGCATCTACGGGACGAAGTAAAGGAGACCTTCATGTGCTAGTCTCCTTCTTGCGGAGCCTCGCGGGTATCAATGCTGTAGTAGCATACCTCCGTGCTTTATTGAAAGAAGCTAAGCTAGACTCGAAATCTCTAAAGGACTCGCGGGTCAGCTTCAATCTGAGTTTCGTCCTGGAGCTCCTCACCCACCTCCTTCATTCACATGATGATATAAAGTACATATGGAGTAATGCTGGCTCTTTAGAGAACCCGACTCAGATTCGGCTCGTACGCCAAGAGCTTGTTTCATTATTTACAAATGGGAAAATCATCTCACTCTCTGCGGAAGCGGAGGACATTTGCCGACAAGCCGGACAATTGAAGGCTGAAGTTTGGATTAGCAATGTTAAGCTCTATATCGACTGGCTTGCTCAAAATATAGTGCAGTGGGTTGGATCAGGGGTCAGCGAAGCTGAACTCAAAGTATGTGCCGATATATTGACACGTGGAATGCGGTTAGGCCATTCAGGTAAGTGTTGTTCTCCGTAGAACAAATCGTCTTGCTAACAAATACCCAAGAGGGTCTTATTAATACGTTAATAACGGGGTTACTTCATCGAAACGTCGAAAGCCATGAAACCTTTGAGAATTTGTTGAGCTCTCTTCTACCTCTCGAGCAGCGGAAAGTTCTCAGTTTAGCCCTGAAGCTACTTTCGGACAAATATCTGAACTCCATACACGACACTAGTGAGATAAAAGATGCCCCTATTATTCAAGCTGCATCTGGAGTCTTGAAGGCGATGATAGGAAACGATGAAACTCGGAAGAATCATCTCTTGAACTGGTTGACGAGCGGATCTGGTGCGGGTATTGGCGAAGGATATGGCATCAGACGGGCTGCCGTCGCCGTTTTTTTCGATGACAAGGACTTCATAACAACTGTCTTGGAGAAAAGCCTAAGTCAGTTCGGTGACAAACTATATATCAAACATGCCCCCTTACTCCAACAAGACGGTTAGTACTACTGATCCAATTTTCTCACTCGCGAAGCTAACCAAGAATAAGCACATGCCCAAGTACTACTTCTTAGTGCTGGGTACGTTCATAGACTTGCACCGATAAAGCTTACTATTCTATTACGATCAAGTGTTTACTTAAACGCTGTATCTAATCGAATTGCCGCGTCGCAAAACCGTGCCCGTTTCCTGGGGATGGTGGTTGGCGAGGCTCTCTCGGGACTTGTTCATGGCAAGGAGACAAAACTTGACTTCAAGATGGACGAGATGGATACAGAAGAAGCTAAATGGTATAAATCGTTGGTCCAACTGTCTGATAAGCCTGGTCCTTTAGATCCACTAAGGGAAATGGACATCCTACCGAAACCCTCTAATGTCCCCAAGATAACAAGGCCCTCGGTGGCACCCGCGCGACGAGCTGGGAAGCCGCCTCTCCAGTCAGGTTTCATTATCGAGGAAATTCAAGATGATGAAGACGAAGACCCAGATCTCGTGCCGTATGTGAAGCCTGATTCGGACGCTGAAGACTCAGATGATGACCCTACACTCATTAATCGTGACAAGCCTAAGGCTCCTGTCTACGTTCGCGACCTCATCACCTATTTCCGAGATCTAGAAAACTATGACCGTCAAAAGCTTGCTTTAACGACGGCCCCTACTCTGATTCGTAGGAAAGCGAACTATGGAACGGAGGTTAGTTCTCATGCAGAAGAGCTTGCCACTCTCCTCGTCGGCTTACAAGACAAATATGAACTCGACAACTTTGATGATCTACGCCTACAGGGGATGATTGCAATCGTGGTTGCGCAGCCAAAGAAGATGGGCCCGTGGTTCGCCAAGACATTCTTTGATGGAGATTATTCATTGTCACAGCGCGCATCCATACTCATGGTATTAGGCCTCAGCGGTCGAGAGATAGCGGGCTTCGAAGCATCCGAATACGGGTCAACGGCGCAATTTCCTTCTAAGATGCTCCCCGCCAAAATCGAAAAGTATTATGCCGCATCCTTGTCGTCGAATAGGCTTGAATCTGGAGCACATAACTTGAAGGCCCTCCCTCCTAATGCCCTGGATAACCTTGCCAAATCCCTCTCGCAGACCTTCCTGGCCCCGCTAGCCGCCGAAGCAGCAGACTCGGTAACAGGGCCAGACGCACTCAAGCTTTCATCGTTCACATCGCGCCTACAATCGCAGTCTCAAAATCCCGGGAAAAGCAAGGCTAAGCCGCGCATACGCGCTATACCCAACACGACGGCCTCTCTTATAGCATCGTCATTCTTCTTCCCCTTAACGTCGCGTTTCCAGGCAGTGATGCATTCGGCATCAGCTACCACGAGAGGCATTCTGTTCCAGCCGTACTTACTCGCCCTCTACCTTAAAACGCTAGCTATCCTCTTACACGCGGCGGGTCCCAGCACGCTCGCGCTTCCACAGATGACATCCGAGTTCTGGGATCTGCTCCTCGGCGTTCGAGGGCAGTGCGTCGGCGATCTGAGCATCACACAGGCCGTGCTCTTCGGACTAGTAGCCCTATTAGATGTCAATGAGGGCGATATGCGTGGTCTCTGCGAGAGACAGGGGCGCGAGGTCGTAGAGAGTGTCGAGTGGGTGAGCGCTGTCTTCAACAATACGCGGGGCGGCGATGTTGGCGGCGAAGGCGGCGGCGAGGAGAACGAGGTCAAGATGTTGGCCGCTGGCGTTCTTATCCGCTTGCGTGAGGCGGTGGATAAGTACCAGGCTGTTCTTATGGGAGACTTGATTGGCTTTATGTAGATGTATGTAGGAAGCAAACGCGCTCTCTTCAGAAGGCTCTCGAGAAATATTCTATTCATGATGCACCATTCTTGACTTTATATTTATACTTACCCCTAAACTTAAACATCTGTAGTTGAGAAGCAGTCCTCGAGCAAAATCACATTTTGCCGTACCCCTTACTAAGTACTTTCATCCGTACTCATTTATGTTTCACTTAGCAACATTTGTTACTGATCTCTAGAAGGTAGGCTTATCGAACTAGCATGTATTATTGCATTTATACCAATCCTTAACATAACGAACTGAATTACACCTGGGCGGCAGTAAGTAGTGGTATCTCAATAGTAAGCAGCTAACGCAAAAACCAATGTCATATACATATACCAAGTATTCCCTCCCCATCATTATTCAGATCTCTTATTTATCATATTCCATTGCAAGGAAGGGAGAATAAATCTTCCCTTACCTTTGTACCGTATTTCTCTGTCTTAATTTCCACCTGTAAAAGGAACACTCCATTTCAGGTTCGCGTTACTCCGCGCCCTCGAAATTATTCCGCCCTGCGCGCCGAGGCTCCATACCACCGACCTGCTCGCCGATGATCGACAAGTGCTCATTAAGGCTACCAATAAGACGGCGCATTTCATTCGCCACGTCGCCAGCTGTAGCTCTTGCCTCAACGACGCTTATTGATGGAGGGGCTATGGACGGGAGGTGTACGGGCCCCGTCGTCCGTAGAATGTGCGCGGCAGTGGTAGGGCCGTGATACCCGTCATCCCGATCCACATAAGTATCGGTTGATGATACGGTATACTCGCTATTCTGATGTTGGTGCTGGTGGTGCAGCAGATGTTGTTGATGCGGGGGTCCTGTCATGTTTAAGACGTTGGATTCAGACACTTCGTCTTCCTCGGCAACCTTACCAGCTATTCGGGCGGAAAACTCGGAGCCGTCGGACACATAGATGGATGGCTCACGGCTAGTGAAGTTGGCGGGGGCATATACGGAAGCGTGGCGCTCGAGCTCAAAGGGCTCACGAGTGCCAATTTCGGAGCCAGTGATGGATGCGATGTCTGAGTTAGCAGTAGATGGGCGTGTGAACTCTGGGAAGTTGGACTCGGGCATGCTCATATCAAGGTCAATCAAGCTAGCCACGGACATGCGATCATTTGATGGTGCGCTCGTACTTTTCATGCCATAGCCCTGCGATGGTAGCACGGGCTCGGTAGGGTGGTGCTGGAGTCGGGGACGTTCAGGGCCACTGTCAAAACCACGATCTTCGTTAAACGTGAAATGTGACATCTCAGGATTAGCCGAGGCCGGAGGGATACTTGTTGGCCACGACCAGTCAGGTGCATGATGTCGGCCATTATTCATATCTGCGGGGTCGCTTAAAGGCGCCCTATCGTGTACTTCTGTCGCAGTAGCTGATGAAAAAGACCAGTTGTTGTCCATTGAAGCTCGTGGGTTCTGTCCTACTCCTGGATTGTGTCCTACTCCTGGGCCCGGTCTTATCGTACCCATATCGACAAAGTTCGAAAGGTCGCCACCACCGAGAGAGGCGTCAAGGTCAATTAAGGATTCGCGAAGTGTTGCGTGGAGAGAGTCGTCGCGTAGTGGAAGATCAGATGTTGGAACCTCGTTTGTCATCGGTGGCTCTGATACTGGAGGTGGTCCAGGGCGACCGTAATACATACGGGAATTCTCGTCGTAGTTTGATATCGTGTTGGGATCGAAGACCTTTTCTAGGGGGGCTTTTATTTTGCTCGCAGCTAGGGCTTGTGGTGGTGGTCGACGTCTACCTTTGCCTAATGCCTTTGGTCGTGCCGTGTCTTCGCCAAATGTCGTGGGGAAATCGACAGCCGATCCATAAACGTCGCGGACTGCCTGGACTTCTGATATGCCGTCTGAAATATCGTGAAGCTGCTCATCGAAGGCAAGCGTAGTAGAAAAATTCCACTCCTCGGTTGATAACGAAGTCGAATCCAGATCGGCGGGTGCTTGTGCTCCTCCGGCTGCGAAGAGAGATTTCCTGATTCCACCACGTTCTTCCCAAAGTCTAAAGGCTTTTACTAGGTTGGCCAGAGAGGAGGTAGGGTATCGAGAGCTCGTATTGAAAATATATGGGTGTTGCTGGATCTGTTCGATAGATGGTCGTCTGGATGGATTTTCCTCCAGGCAAAAGGCAACTAAACTTTTAAGTTCGTCTGAGTATTGATCGCCCTCGAGATGTGGTATATGTTCTCTAAGGTAGTCTCCTAATTGAGGGAGGCCTACTCTCGCTGTCGCATTCGGTGGTAAACCAGAGGCAATCTCGTATACCATAGACCCGAAAGCCCATATGTCAACCTCTGTTCCATACTGAGCATTATGGTCAAATAGTTCTGGTGCCATCCAATGTGGTGTTCCAATGAAAGTAGATCTTTTGTCTAACTTCGTCTCCATCATACCAGCAACACCGAAATCGCACAGCTGGACCGCTCCAGTTTCGGTAACTAAGACATTAGCGCACTTAATATCGCGATGTATAATGCCCTCCTTATGAACCCAATAAATTGCTACGGCCACTTCACGCAGTATAGGGATAATCCACTTCTCTTGTAACCCTCCAGGAGTGGTCGGTTTCATTAGGGTTGCTACACTCCCTCCAGCACAGTATTCGGTAACCATCCACATAGCCTTGCCAACAGGTAGAGCTTCGATGACATGGTTGATGTTCTGGGCACCAGATTGACTTAAACGATGTAGCGCATTGATCTCTTTGAGAATCTCACTATAAGTATCCGCGAGCTTCGGGTTCACCGTATCACTCTCATCAACGTCTATGATCTTGACAGCTACCACAGCGGCAGTTCTCAGGTCGTTTGCCTTGTACACACGACCAAAACTCCCCTTACCGATTAGTTCGGTAAGGCGGTACTGAGGAGCGGGTTTTCCTGACTTGGCGCATTCTTCTTGAACAGCCTCTTCCATTTTCCGTGCGTCTTCGACAGCTTTTTGGCGCGTCGTCGCAGGTCCGCCGCCAAAAACTTGAAGAGTTGCCATGGTGTGTGAAGTTCAAGCGTAGGACTGGGAGACATGGTTAGCTAGTGCTCCTGAAAATTAAAATTGAAAACGTAGGAATCAAGTCTTAATAGTCAATACAAGTAGCAAAAAGCATGAGATTAAGTATGCGTGGCTACGGTGACGCGTAGTGGATTCAACGTGTGGATTAGAAATGGTGTACATGAAGGGCGACAAAAGGGAATTTGTAGGGAATAATCGCATCTTGTCAGCATTAGTACCACTCTTACTCGCCTTTCCGCCGGAGTTGGGGCACGGAGTGGTATGTTTAACGGCGGATGATCCATTAAAGCTAGGACGTATGGACCGCCGCGAAGGCCTGGGTTAGATTCCAGCGGAATATCCACTGACCATGCCGGGGAGTTTTTATTATCAATAAACAGGTTATTGTTCATAGGCCCAGCCGGAGTCCCAACCGGAGTCACTGCCATGGGGGATCGCTTGAGAGAAGAGGTGGGAGTTTGTATGGGGGAATCAGTTAGGGACGCCATGGTGTGTCGATGTTGTGGCGATAAATTGCCGGCAGCAGGACGGATGGTGATTCGAAGAAAGAAAAAATGAATGAATCATTGAGAGCAACATACTTACAACTGGGCGGTAACTCAAGTAATGAACCTTCAGATTTATTATGCCGAATAAAAGGGAGGACTTATTCCAACGTGATTGTACGTTACCGCCTTCAAAAGAATCGAGTCCACAAGGCAGCATTTAATGGTCTATGCTCCTTAGCATAAGAAGGCTCAACGGCCAACGCTGCTGAAGACTGATTTCTCAGAGTAAATTGGTGTCTCGAAAGTATGGATTAATTAATTAATTAATTCGTGGGAGCGTTTAAAAATTATGAGTGATTTAGGTAGGTTGTGTAGTTTCTTATGCCTCCCAAGTTGTTCATATCTTAAAAGAAAGTTGACGGTTGACAATGTGGCATCGGCGGTCCGTGCCTGTCACAACCTTACTACATAAAGTTGGGAGCATAAGCTAAGAAAGGCGAGGCGGCGCTAGCGGCGCTAAACTAAAGAAAAGATGGGGTGAAATATATAACCAATCAAATCAATCAACGACAACTTCAGCTTTGTGCAAGGCTAAAAGGTAAGTTAGGTACCTAAAGCAGCCTCATTTACACGTCGATATATATGTACCACCAGTGAAAAAATTACTCAAATATATGTACCTATATATATTATCTATTGTATACTTCATAATAGGCCTACTATAAGTATAATATCTATATGTTGAGATGACCTGCCGAGTATATTATAGGTATGGCATGCCACATTATCAATTAATAGTGTCTCGGAACTTTTTGACTCTACCTCCGTTTGAATGCAGAAACCTACCTACCTGTAGGTACCTAACCTACATGAGGCTGCTTCGCCCGCCAATCTCCATGCTTCCTTGACCATCCCGCATCTCACCGCTGCGTCCGACTACGAATTCTCTGTAGATTCGTTCGAGCCGGTTTCTCTCTTGAGGACTGATACTGGCCCTGGTAGATTCCAACGCCTTTACTACGTGCCTCCAACCGATAAGAACCTCTGTACTACTTCCTTCTTTCCCTTTCTCGCCATCATCTCCTGCAGCATGGTTTACCCTCTTCTGAACCAGCTTTGTCTGTTTCCTTGCTGCTTTGATTTCAGATAGTTTAGCTGCTATAGCAGCATTCTCGGCTAGCTGGGATGATTTGTTATATCCCTTCTTGGCCTTTTCCTCTGCTTCGGCTAGGGCAGCCTCGATGCCGTAGCGAAATTGGACAAAATTCCGATTGCTCACGGCGGTGCTTGCTTTAGCTCGGGAGTCAACGCCGTTACGTTTGTCGCCCGAAGGTTGTGTTTCAATGTCTTTAAGCACATCGTGGATGGCTTCCAGCTGAGCGTTCGAGATAAGCGCCTGTAAATCAGCACCAGAAAACCCTTCTGTGCGCTTCGCGAGTTCAAGGAAGCTCTCTTCAGACGCTACCAACTCTTTACTGAGCTTAATTTTCTTGCTCAGGGCCTGTAGGATATCGGCGCGGTCTTCTACAGTCGGAAAACCGCATAGCAAGCTCTTGTCTAAGCGCCCCGGACGAAGCAGGGCGGGATCGATCAAATCCGGTCGCGATGTCGCGGCTAAGACGTACACACCAGATAATCCTTCCGCGCCGTCCATTTGGGTCAAAAGCTGATTGACTACTCGATCCGTAACACCTGTCGAGTCATGCCCTCGTTTGGGTGCGATCGAGTCGAATTCATCGAAGAAAAGCACACACGGTTTTGCAGCAGAAGCGCGTTCGAAAAGATCACGAACGCTTTTCTCGCTGGCTCCAATGTACTTGTTCAATATTTCAGGTCCCTTCACGGATATGAAATTGAGCCCGCACTCGCCCGCCACTGCGCTTGCGAGAAGAGTTTTACCGCAGCCAGGGAAACCGTATAAGAGTAGTCCGGAACGTAACCTCAAAGGGCATTGTGCAAATATCGGCGCGTATTTTGTTGGATATTGCAATGTCTCGAGTAAGATCTGTCGCGTCTCCTTTAGGCCACCGATTGAGTCGAATGTAGTTGTCGACGTCTGCAATGGAACATTCCGGAGAGATGCCGGAGTGAACCCTTTGAGAGCGTTATCGAAATCGGCGCGACCGAGTTGAACAATGTCTAGTGATTCATTTAAAGGCTCCTCGCTAACAGACCGTATCAGAGCTTCGTTACGAGCTCGAGACACGAGAAGAATTAGATCTCCCGGCATGTAGCCGTCGGTTTCCCCGGCAAGGTCGAGGAAGTCCAAATCTGGGTCTAAAAGGAAACCATCTAACTTCGGATTTGTAGAAACGGAATTGCCACGGCTACGTTGATCCGCACCATCCATCCACGTGCCGGCATCATCACCACCCACACTCCCATTGGCGGTAGTAGGACGACTACCGCACGAGCCGGGCGCCTGTAAAGACTCCGGAGCTACGGTTTGCTGTTTGACAATCGTCTCTAACACTTTTCTCCGGGCGCCTTTATCCGGCGCTTTTAACTCGACGATTTCCCGGACGACGTGGCCTCCGATGATTACGTTGTTGAGCGACTCTTTGCCTTGGGCGGTAGCTAGGAGAACAACACCCTTATCGTGTCCACAGTACTGACGCACAATCGAACTGATAGTCTCACTAACCTGCCTGCTTCGGCTATTGTCGTTTCCCACTTGCAACTCAGTCTCTACTGGACACAACTTATCCAGGTCGTCGAGTATGACAAGCGCTTTCCCACCGAGTCTTGCGCCCCAGCTAGCACCCATGAAGATTCTATTTAACGTTTCTTTGATGGTGGAAATTCTGCTTTCATCATTGACGAGCTTTCTACATGGAAAGTAAGTTGTGTGGAATAGAAATTCCTCTTGCAGTGTCCGAGCCAGGGACTGGACTATAGCTGTCTTGCCTGCTCCCAAAGCACCGCTTAGAAGGACAGACGACATATGTGAGAGGTGGGATTTCAAGTCGGTTAGGAGTGAATCGATTCCAACTAGAACTGAGTCGCCTGAAGGTTTTTGCTCGTTTATCTCATCGTCCACTAACCAAGCTGGGCGAGGAGCTGGTGTTTGGATCTCGATGGGCACAGGTTTTTCAGATCCAAGGTACCAATTCAAATGCTCCCTGGAATTGGAATCCGGATTTGCGCCTTCAAACTTCACAATACCGCCCTCCCAGCCGTGTGATAACTCAAGGGTGTCGTATACTGGTAATACCATACCGTCGGTTAAAGGGCCGTGCAATAACCCATTGGCTTTGCCCTTTTGACTATAAATATTAGATATCCTTCTGGATGCTTCCTCTTTTTCAACTTTCGACTCTCCACCAAATTTTAAGCCATCCGAGGTTCTAAGATCTTCAATCGAAAACGGAGACACCTTCAATTTTTGTACCGCACTACGCGATAACGGCGCCGGTGCCGGTTCAATCTTTGCGATTCCTCCAACGATCCCTAAACAGCCGAGCATCGCGCATAGAGGGGTAGAGAGAGCAATGGTCTGGGTCGTCGGGGGGTCATCCCACGGGCGTAATTTGGCAACGACCTTCTCGGTCGCTTTCGTAGTCGCGCCATTCGTTGCATTTTCTTGCTGCTTTTGGGGATCAAGAGGAGGTTGAAGCCCAGCCGGCTTAACAATATTCACAGCAACCCACGTTACGCCGCGAAATTCCTTTGATAGTAGAAGATCACGATCAACCCATACGCTCAAGTCCTGCGGCGCTGATTCTTCATCAAACCATTCCTCGCAAAGTTTCCGGTCAATTCCTCTCAAAAACAAGCTTGGCTTCTTTTCTTCCCGCGCACTCTTTCTACGCACTGTACTAGCCGAACTCTTCGCGCTTCTCCTTGACGTGCTACCTACACTACGGTCTTCCCGTGTGCTTTTAGATGGTTTAGATCGCGTCTTTGGCGCAACGATGACTTCGGCGTCGGGTGCGATTTTCACAAACGGAACATCTGCCGAGGGAGCCGGTTCGAGGGACAAAATCTTTATATTGGCTGTAGATGTGGGCGAGAGATGGAGAGTTAAGGGATGCGTGCTGGGAGGCTGACCCGGTAAGGCGGTGTACGCTGGATTCGGGAGCGCGCGGATTTGTGATAGTAGATTTAATTCTAAAAAGGTCGCGTGTAACTCGATGATCTCCCAGTCTTCAGGCGTCAGCGGTTCGATATTTACTGTATGCGCCAAAGGAGGGTCGACATGTATTATGGCCGTAACCTTCTGACCGTCTGGCAATCCAAGAGTACGAGCCAAGGTAGCGTCAATCTCGACGGAGGCTACCTCCTGATCTCTTCCGCTACCACGTGTACCCATGATACCATCACGATCTACTATAGGTGCTATCTTGCGTTTGCTAGGCATTCCCGTCCATCCGACATAGAGCGATCGTTGTGTCGAGGAGCCATTGGCTTGAGGGGCGCCATTCGCAGGCAATGGGACGCGATAGTTGAGTTCGACAACGACATTCTGGGCAGGCTATGATAACAATTCAGTAATAACTCAATATTTATAAGAGCGAGTGAGGGCTTACAGTATTGACGGTTACAAGTAGATTGACTAGCGACGTCGGGAGATTCACGAGACAGTTCTTAAGGTGTACAAGGGATATCTCAGCAGCAACAGACTGCGCGTTCTTCCGCTGAAATGGAGCCATATTGAATTTAAGTATAAGTAGATCGAATTACGCCTAAAGCACTATGAAGTGTCTTCGCGAGTTGGTTACGAGCTTTCAAACACGAGCTTCCAAACATGACTTGAAGCATTACAATTTGAGAATTGTAGGTTGCTTTAACACTAAGAAATATCCCTATGCATATGCCGTGGCAGCTGCATGGACCGAGGCATTGATCGATAAAGTTATCAAAGGTACCTTGATACTTGCATAATCATATGTAGGTACCTATGTACCTAATGTAGGTACGAAGTAATCCGTACTTGCAGCTACTTCTATCAAATGAAAGACAACCCGAACTTCAGCTTAAGTGGAGAAAATCACTAGCCACATGGCCAGCACATCCATTCAGCACCTCCATTAAGCACTTTAATAACTGGGGCTGAAGAAGCGCGCGAAAATTCGCGTCGACGCGTTATCTTTTAGAAACTGGGTCCATCTATTCCCCTGTCCCCTGTTACAACTTCCAGCCTCCATGTTCTCAAAAGTTACAGACTCAAATGTACACTAATTATTGCGACTTGCCCAATTCTGTCGCAATTCTTCCACATCCCACATCTCACTTCACCCACCAAGATTCTTAGGCGTAGATTTAATTCATAATGGCCCTCCTTCAGTATAAAAACATCGTCGACTATGAGGCGCAGCAAGGTCAGTCCCCAATTTCCGCAATCAGCTATGTTAGAACTAATAGAATCTGTTAAATATAGCTGCTTTTGAGAACTTTCTCGAAAAATTCAAGACCTCGCCAGAACAGACATTAACCCACGCTATTGGCCAGATTAATATTGACGAAGATGATCTGAGTGACGAGTACGATTTTATGGACGAAGATGATGAAGCGCACGAGCGACGTCGACGAGAGAAAGCTACGGCGAGGCTACCAAAACACAAATACGCCGATTTGATGCAGAAGCTCGCAGACCGCACAATTGACAAGGTTTTAATAGAGCTAGATGACATTTCCCAAGTAAGATTAATCCATATTCTCTTTGAACGAAATGCAACTGACAGCAAGTAGTGGGAGGGTGATACAAATGAAGGATTGAAACTCGTAGAGTCTATCGAAGCGAACACCAAGCACTATGTCGAGATCCTATCCAGAGCTATCGATAAAAAGATGCCCGCACCCACGACTGGCGTCACGTATGATCAAATGGCCTACCCCCTCGTATCTTTACTTTCTAACACAAGTCTAGGTTCAAGGATGATGTTTTGGATGTAATCATGGAAAGGAGACAAGCCCGGAATCGTGATCTTGTTGAAGCAGCTACCAACACCAATAACCCAGATTTGCTCGAGTCTACCTTCCCGGCTCAGCTGACGAGGAGATATACACTTGTTTTTAAGCCCAGAACATCCACCAGCGAGAAGCCAGTTAAGGCCCTTGCTGTACGACAAGTACGAGGCGAGCATCTTGGTCATCTTATCACAATCCGTGGTATCGCGACTAGAGTATCGGACGTCAAACCCATTGTGCAAGTGGGAGCGTATACTTGTGATCGTTGTGGATGTGAAATCTTCCAGCCTGTCAATGATAAGCAATATGCACCCCTTACTAGCTGTCCGTCCCAGGAATGTAAGGAGAACCAATCAAGGGGCCAGCTCTTCCAGTCCTCACGCGCGTCTAAGTTCCTACCTTTCCAAGAAGTTAAGATTCAAGAACTAGCGGAGCAAGTACCTATTGGCCAGATTCCCCGAACCCTCACGGTCATGTGCTATGGTAGCGCAGTCCGCCAGATCAGTCCTGGAGATGTTGTTGATATTTCGGGAATTTTTCTGCCTACCCCATATACAGGCTTCCAAGCCATGCGAGCTGGACTTCTTACCGACACATATATCGAAGCACACCATATTGTTCAGCACAAGAAAGCGTACGAAGAGATGATCATTGACGACAAGCTATTAAGGCGCATTAACACCTACAGCCAGACGGGTACAGTATACGAGATGTTGGCGAAGTCAATTGCACCCGAAATCTATGGTCACCTTGACGTGAAAAAGGCGCTCCTGCTGTTGCTCGTTGGTGGTGTCACAAAAAAGATGGGTGACGGTATGCGGATCCGTGGCGACATCAACATGTGTTTAATGGGTGACCCCGGTGTAGCCAAATCTCAGTTGCTGAAGTATATCTCAAAGGTTGCCCCTCGAGGCGTCTACACATCCGGCCGTGGTTCAAGTGGTGTTGGTCTTACCGCAGCCGTAATGCGCGACCCCGTAACGGACGAGATGGTTCTCGAAGGCGGTGCGCTGGTTTTAGCTGACAATGGTATCTGCTGTATCGACGAGTTCGATAAGATGGATGACAATGATCGAACTGCTATTCACGAAGTCATGGAGCAGCAGACGATTTCCATTTCCAAGGCTGGTATCTCAACTACACTGAACGCGAGGACATCGATCCTAGCTGCTGCTAACCCTATTTATGGCCGCTACAACCCACGTATATCACCAGTCGAGAATATCAACTTGCCGGCAGCTCTACTCTCACGTTTCGATGTCCTATTTTTGCTACTTGATACGCCGACTCGCGAGGGCGATGCCCAATTGGCTAAGCACGTAGCATACGTGCACATGCACAACAAGCACCCCGACCTCTACGAAGCCGGCGGCGACGATGCAGCGCAGAACCCGAACATAGTCTTCACACCCCACGAAGTACGAGCGTACGTGGCGCAAGCCCGCACATACCGACCTACGGTCCCAGAGACCGTCACCGAATACCTAACCAAGACTTACGTTCGCCTGCGAGACGCGCAACGCCGCGCTGAGAAGAAGAACAAGCAGTTCAGTCACACGACGCCACGAACACTGTTAGGCGTGGTACGTCTCGCGCAGGCGCTAGCGCGACTCCGATTCGATACCGCGGTCAACCGAGATGATGTAGACGAGGCGCTGCGGCTTATAGAAGCTAGCAAAGAGAGCTTGGCTGCTCACGAGGCCACGGGTGGCAGAAGAACGCTCAACGCGGCTAGCCGTATCTACAACTTGGTTAAGTCGCTGGCTGACAGCGGTGCGTGCCGAGCTGAGGAAGATGAGGATGACGAGGAGGGTACAGTGGAATTGAGCATGCGGAAGGTGCGCGAACGTGTGCTAGGTAAGGGATTCACTGAAGACCAGTGGTTGAATGCGCTGGATGAGTACACGAATCTTGATGTGAGTTTTTCCAATATTCTTCATCTCCTGCGGTGGTTTCAGTTACTAACATTGCAAAAAACAGGTATGGCAGACAGCGGGCAATGGCAGCAGGCTGGTGTTCATTACAGCGACGGATAATGGAGGGGAGGAAGACGACGAGTAAGGTGATTTATAGATCAGATATGAAAGCTAAGCGAAGCAATGTTCCTAATGGGCTTTCGCTCTAGAAGTACGAGGATGAAGATAAGCCACGGCGTTATGGAACCGGAATCAATGCCATTATTGATATAACGATTAAGATGTTCTCTGCCGTAGTAGCTTGCTTGTTTTCAAGCTAGTTCTTAATGTCAGGAATGAGAGAAAGCTACTTCAAGTATAAATACATATTATATCCTTAATTCCGTATTGTGAATGTTACATAGGCCACTTTGACGACATGGCCTTCAGGTTCTCAAACTCCAGCAAAGGGGACTAAAGGGCGGATAAGTCGCGATCAGTTCGATTATGATATAAAGAAAGGGGTATGTTTTGTCTTCCTCGTAGCTAGTTTTAGTGACATATCTTATATGGCTACCTTATAAACAGTACAACCGAGGCCGTTACAACATTTCAATACTGTTACAACCCACGTATAAGCATCCAAAGTCCTTCGCAGGAATACAGTCCAGTCATCTTCAGCCTATCCTACCACTTAATACCTACTTACAACATGGGTCCCCCGTAGCTAACATTTGCCTGCGGTCAAGTAAATATTTTCTAGACTACTTGCGTGTATATTAGGTAAACATAGTTATATAAAACCCTAACGGCAAAATAGGGACATCGTCATTTACCTATATATAAGTGTTATATCAAGTTTAAGATTCTAAATCATCCAAGTTGATGTAATATAAAAAAGTGGCACGTATAGCAAATTACTGAGACGAGATATGTACATTAGGTACTCAACTTAACCTTTCTTCATCTTCAAATACATGAGCGCTATAGTCCCTTTGATACAATGTATACACGTTCCCATCATACGAATACGTTTCTCCAATTCAACTACAATCCCCTATGGTCCTTTATTCATTAGCACGCATTACAACTAAAACAGAGCATAACCAATGCATATCACCGTAGAGCTTATATCATATCGTGAATATTCTACACGGGAACATATTGTGTTATATACATCCTTACCAGCGATATATCGTCGCCTAACCTCTAGAGCGGTAGTCACTTCATAGAGAAGCATGAGTAATTTACACAGGCGATCTGACATCATACAGCGCAGCTCGCTCCATCTCGCCGAGGATACCGCTACCAGCCAGGGTCCACTTCTCGCTGACGTTCTTCTCGTCGACGCGCAGGCGAAGAATACCGCTCGCAGCCCAGTATTCCATTAGCGCGCGGGCTTCCAGCTTAGAGACGCCGCGGAGGTTCAAGACCTTGACGCCCTTGAGAGCGTCGAACACGCGTTCGTCGTACTTGGCGAAGAACGGGTCTCGAGGCGGGATCGGCTCGCCGGCCTGTGCGGCAGCAGCTTGCTCTAGAGCCTTCTCCATCGACGGGATCACGGGGCTATTGCCCTTGGTGCACACGCCCAGGATCGCCGCGCCGTTGGCAAAATTCGTCTTGCCGCCTAGCGCGTCCGTGAATAGGCGGAGTAAGCTAAGGTCATGGCTGTGGATAAGCTGGAAGGCAGGTGAGCGGTAATCGCTGATGCGCATGATGTGGCTAAGGCCGTCAAGCGCAAACATGATCGGTGGACGGCCTGGTAGTAACAGTTCCTTCCAGAAGGCCTGGAATACGGGCCAGGCAAACTCGGGTTCCTTGGTGGCGTTGGCGAGGGCGGCGAGCGTCATACCTCGGTTCACTGAGATAGGGAGGTGCATATGGTCCAGCTCGACCTTATACTGTGATAAAATGGGCTGGTTGGCCTTGTAGATAGCCTGGAAGAGCTTGACGGTGTATACGGGTTGGGAGAACTGCTCAGAATTAGGTATCGGAGAATACTCAGTCGCCGCAGTAGTCAGTTCTTGCGCTGGACGTGCGAAGAACAGTTAACAGTTAGCCTTGAATTATACCAGACCAGACTGAATGGAGTTTTCTGTACCTTCCGGGATGTTAATTACAACCCATTTATTCAGGAACCCCGTTGCCAACCCTTGAAGCCCTAAGACACTCTTTCCCGACGCCCTATCTCCAGTAATAACCAACCTCAGAGTTTCTTTCTTGCCGACAGCATCCGTGAGTTGCTTCGCTAGGTCTACCGTCTCCTTCCTGATTAACGTATGTGGTGACCGGAATAAGCCCCAAGTCTGCGTCGGCTTGAATGCCTCGCTGGCCCTCAGTTGGTCTAACACCACCTCCGGGAGGCTGAAAACCTGACCTACAGAACTAGCGTCCACGACATTCTCGGCCGTCAATTCGCCAAGGCCTGGTACAGCCAAGGCATTATTGTTGCTGAGCTGAATGCGCTTCCGAAATGCCTTTCTTTCCCCAGACACCGGCGGTTTACCCTTGTCGGCTGGCCGCTTCTTCTTTCCCAATATCAACTTTTTACCAGTACGAATATGTCGTGAGAGGTTTGGCTCTTCCTTCTGGCCGGGTTTGGCCCTCAGTTGCGCCGAAGTGGTGAACGCTGCCGCTGATGCTGGGGTCGACGGAGCTGGTAATAATGATGCTGGCACGAGTAGCCGCTGTGAGGGCCGTGCTAGACACCTCCAGCAATTCGCACTCGCCATTGCTGGTGCGGATCGAATTCGAATGTTGGTCCTCAGCGAATTTCCAACACCAGAAGCTCCAACATCAAAATCGCAAAAGAGCCCCAGCTAAATTTTAGGAATGAGACCTCCGATAAAAGCATATCGGTGCGGGTCACTTCTATGGTACACAGGTACGGAAAAGATGGCGGAGAAATTAGCACTCCGATCTGCTATCGATAAGTCCGATATGCCTGCGCTACTAGCATCTAACCAAAAATTCTTGAGAAGTCCAATTGGAATTATCTCAGTAAACTCAGACCATAAATTCGATATCGTTCGTAAGGTTGTATTTATCTCAGTAGCTTAAACTAGATTTGTTAAAAATCAGGCTTACGCCCGATTGCGCCACAAGCGCCACAGAATACCTGGCCCGTATAATTATATTTATAAGTTATAAATGCGAGTTTTAACGAATTTTAATTTAAAATAACTCGGGCGTTTTTAACCACGTTAAAATAAGTTTTTTTAAAAATTAAACTTTATATTTATAATAATTTAATATTTAATAATAACGTATAAAATAACTTTTATTTTTATAATTTAAAGTTAATATTATGCTTTTTTTACTTTTTTATATTTTTTACATATTTATATAATATCGCGTTATAATATCGTAAGTTTTAACGTTTAAAAACACGTAATAATATTAAAAATGTTATATTAATATTTACATTTACGCGTTTACATTTACAACCACGTTTAAAATACTTTTTATTTTTATAACTTAAAACTTTTAATTTAATTACTTAAACCTTTTAATTATTTTACATACCCGTACGACATTGCGTTATAATATTATAAGTTTTAATGTAATATATTTTTAAAAACGTTATAACCGATATTATAACCATTTTAAAACGTTTAAAACATTTAAAACGCATATATTTAAACGTTTAAAAAATTAAATAAACGCGTATATTTATTAATAATAAAATTAATAAATATTTTAAATTAATTAAAATTTACTTTAATTATTATTTTTAATATTATTTTTAATATTAAATAAAATAATATATCAAAAATCGCCCGAATTACTTTAAACCAAAAATGCGAAATTCGTAAAAAAAATAAGTTAAAAATGTAATTGGTTAAAAAAAAATGTAACGGGAAAAGTACAACAAAATTTACGTCATTAATTTAAGTTCATTAAAATAAAATTATACTTTTTTTAACCATATTATTTTTTAATTAATTAAAATTTAAAACAACTTTTTAAAACAATATCGAATTTATAATTTAAAATAAATTTAAAACTTTATATATTAAAATTATATATTTAACGTTTTAAAATAATAATATTAATAATATTATTAAAATAATAATATTAATGTATTTTTATAATAAATAATAATTAATTATATAATAATTATTAATTTTTTTATTAAATTTATTAATTAAATTTATATGTTTTAAATTTTTTAAAATGTTAAAAATAATTATAATAATTATATTATAATAATTATAACGCGTTAATTATAATATTAATTATAATAATAATTGTAATAAATATTAAAATTTAATATATAAAACCGTATAAATATATAAAAAAAGTTAAAAAGTTTAAAAAATAATATTATTAATTTTAAATTATTAATAAATAAAATTTTATATAATTATAAAATATTAAATTATTATATTTAAATATTTTATATAAAGTTTAATATAATTAAAACGTTAAAAATTTTTAAATATTAAAATTTAATATATAAAAAAGTAATATTTTATAAATATATAAAAAAAATAAAAAATTAAAAAAAATATATTATAAATTTTAAATTATTAAAATTAAAATTATTTTATATATTATTATAATATATTAAATTATTATAAATATAATATTTAATTTTTTTATTATTAATAAAAATGTTAAAAATTCCTGTAATATAATATAACTTTAAACCAAAAATTTTCGAATATTTTACCTATAACCCACAGGTACAAACACACAGACCACGCGTTGCGTGGCGCAGGCGGGCGCAGCCCGCCTCGAAAATTTCGGGTCTGAGGTTACCTGAGATAAAATTGGAACTTCATATTTTTCTTTTAGTTTAACATCCCACTCACGCCGTTATAGCATTATAACACAAAGCATAAAAGATATACTCTAGCCATACTGGGTGAATACTACTACTAAATCTACGAAAGACCTATTTACCAATTCATCCCGGTCAATTCCGACCACCAAAACCTCAACAATGGCCCCGCCATCTAAACCAAAGCTCGATGTCGCCGTCACCAAGCCAACACCCTACACCTTCGATCTCGGGCTCCTCCTCGCCAACGATCCTAACCCGCTCTCCACATCTATCCCGGAAGAAGTCGACTCCAACGTTCTAGAAGCACAGCTCGCCGCTACCGCCCGCGACGGTGCGCAAGCCCTCATCAACCAGCTCCTAACCACACTCCCTCTTGCCGCCACCACATCCGGCGTCTTGCTCACCCTCCCTCACCCCGCGACCCCTCTACCGCGTGAGAAGCCCCTGCCAGCAGCTAAGCCCCCCACGAAATGGGAGCAATTCGCCGCGCGCAAGGGCATCAAGCCCAAGACGCGCGAGCAGCGGCACGCCAAGTCCCAAAAGTACAACGAGGAGACAGGCGAATGGGAGCGCACGTGGGGCTACGATAAGGGTGGTGCTAAGAAGCGTCGTGAGGAAGGTATGGTTCAGCAGGACTGGCTTGTAGAGGTTGACGAGAAGAAGGACCGGGAGGAAAAGGCCGCCAAGGATAAGAAGAAGAGGAGAAAGGCTTGATGGACTAGGACTGTGATGCAGAGAAGTATAAATGATAGGCAGGAAGCCTAGACATTGCTGGGAGATGCAGACTTGTGAAAATGGTAGCTTGAGGGAGGCACTCTGTTGATACCCACACATTTCGAGTCGCAATAGACAGGTGGGAGTTTGGCGTTTCCGGCACAAGACAGCAGGTTTCGCGGGTTTGGGCATATTTGTATTGGTATTGCGGATCTTTCCAACCCAATGTATGGTACAGATTCTTTTCTAACCTTCCATATTCTAAAACTCCGTCGCTACGTTTTGTTCCACTCTCCCTCCGCCCTTCTTCCACGCAACGAAGCGTTCGCCGTGTAGCCAAAGTAGGAATTCGTTATGTTAGCACGCAGGGCGCATTGGCTATAGTAATCCGAGCGCCGTTATCCAAGATCCACCACCAACTTAATTTGCTGCGACATGATATGTCGAGTAGATCGACGTGGAGCGCCTAGGCAATAGGTAGTAGGTGTTATGTACTAGGTACTCATGTAGCAGCGTAAGGCCCATCAACTGGTTAGCTCTCTTGAAGGATCCGAGTTTGTAGTTGTTGAGAATCAAAAGACAACGCGTGCCGCTAATTCATAAAGCCTGATCAACTCAGGATAATCGTGTAACGCTAAGATATGAAGAAAAGTTTGAAATCGTAAACGGAGCGTAATATCGTCAAAGAGCACCGCCAAGCCAAATGCTAACCACATTCACGTCCTGGGGTATTATCAAGGCAAAAAAGCTATCATCAGATCAGGATCAACACATCCCTACTCTCCAGTTCAGTATACCGCGACTTAAATCACCCCTTAATTATGAGAAGTTCATTGGGGAAAGAGGCTTGATAGGCGACAGCGGTCGTAGTTCTCGTTCCCCGGATCGTCGTACAGCCGTATCGTGCTCGCCATTAACAGTCAACGAATTCGACGTTGAATACTTCGATATAGGTAGTCCTCCGTTTGGCTGACTCCCTGGTACCGGCTTCTTTCTTATTTTCCCACTGTGGTGTTCGTCGGGGGGAGCCGATAATTTGCTGCTATCAGACGAAGAAAGATTCCGATCACCGTGGACATCGCCCCCACTATGGCTCTGAGACTCCGACGAGCTCAATCCGCGAGGCAGTGGTTGTTGGAATAACTGATATTCTTCTTCGATATATCTAGCCTCGTTCCTACACCCTTGCCAACATAATCTCCAATCGCAAACAAGGAACTTAAAACAGAAGGCATCGATTTTCATGCATGGTTGGAAACATATGCATAGATTGCGGAAGTCCATCTTATTTTTGTCGGAATGTGCGAGAAGCAAGCTGAGATGGCATGTGATGGCAAAAAGGAGATAGTAGTTAAACGGTGACAAGTTGGAGAGCTCATCAATCAGCAGCTGGGGTACTTCGTCGGCGCCAGCGCACTGTCGAGAAATTCGCTCCTGGGCCTCCTTTGGGAATAATTCATCGGGGAGTTCACGGAGCCAGGCCTTGAACATCGAACCGATGATATTGATATCATAAAGGTCGTTCTGTGCGAATAGATCGACATCGTATTCTGTCATCAATTTAGCAAATAGCGAAACGAACCACGGCGGGATGGGTAATCTACCTTCATCGAACTTCCTTTGCCATTTCTTAACCTGAGGGCCACTCCCAGGCACACGATATAGACCTTCAACCTCGGTTCCCTTAAGATTGAGATAATCAATCGCCCGCCAGGGGAAAGCGGGCATCCAAAACTCTGTCTTGTCCCGAGAATCTTCAAGTCTCTTAGATATCCTTGTCAACCGCGTCTGCTCGACCAATGGTAAATTAATAACTTTGAGAACGTAATGCTCGTCATCCACTCCCGTGTCTTTATCCGACGTACTGGCGCTACGGCCGCTTCTCCCAAATAATCCTTTGCTGATCATATCTGCTGCTCGGCTACCAGAACTTTTTAGACCGTTTAAAAATGTCGAACCGTTGCTGTTACTGTCCTTAAAAGAGGAAGGGTGGCTTCTATAATGGTCTTTATCGTGTCGGTGTTCTTTGTTCCCTGGGGCGTCTCGAGGAGGTGCACGGTCGGCGGAATGATTACGTATAGTCGAATTCATCATATTTCTAAAAGACCTCTCGTAGCCATCGGGATTCATAGGGGCCGTCCTCAAAGGCTGCAGGCCTGCCGGGGATGGGTCTCGCTCAGCCTCATGTAATGTGATTGTTATCGACTCCTTTGGGATATGACCATCGTTATCCTTCAGCGACCTATTACGACCCAGAAGCGTGAAAGGTTTGGGCTTGTTCTTTTTCGATGAGTTGGTTTCTTGTTCATTAGTGGATGCCAATGAAACATCAGATCTGGATGGCAAGGAAGGGGTTGTTTTGTGGTTCGAGGGATCAGCGGATGATAGGTCTAGATAGTTGGTGACGAACAAAGGATTAGCATCATGAGACTGGCGTAATACGTAACTGCACTAACTGCACTTTCTTTGACTTCCAATTCGGCGTACCTGAATTTTTAGAATTTTTACTGGATACTCTATCCGGCATGGCGGTGTTCTCCGTGCCGCGGGACATAGCCTCACGCGTCCCTGCGCTGTCCGTGTGGGTATGATAAAGCTGATTGGTAGATCTAGACGACTTCCCAAAGCCGAAAAAGCGACTACCGCTTCTCGAGTGCTTCTCGTTTTCGGGACGAGAACATGTGTCCGCAACGGTTGATACAGTGTTGGAGGATGGGAGGAGAGTTAAGGGCGGGAGTTCTGGCTCGTAGCGCTGAGGAGATTGGTGTTGTCGATGTTGAGCAACATGTACGCTTTCGGGAGATTGCAGCGGCTGGACTGGTTCAACAGGATAATCCTGATACTGCTGTGTCTGAGGTTTGCTAGGCGTGCTTGTGCTAAACTTCCCAAAGGGAGAACGAGGCGACTTGGGCGACTTAGAAGGCGTCGGGGAGGTAATTTGAAGCGTAGGCTCACTCTTCAGTGTAGGGCGCGGACTTGGTCTATCTGTTCCCAGGGCATTGGGATCTGAGTATGTAGGGGCGCTGGCGCTGGTACTGGAAGCAGAGTGCTGGCCCAAGGAATCCGAATCGCCAGTCAGGGACAATGGATTGGGGACTGGCTTTCGGCGCATTATGGATGGTATGTATTCCCCTTATTGTCCTTCGGTCAAACACAAATCGGGGAATACCAGGGACGAGCCTGATTCGCTCTCTGCCGCAGGAGGACAGGCTAAGTCGTGCGCGGTGGAATGCTGTAACAAGTATTGGGGTATCAGATGGATCGTAGGAAGGATTAGCAAAGCGAAATAGGGCAGACTTGGTAATCTGCGACAAAAGGCGCCAGACCCAGGCCGATTAAGGGTAGGTAATTTTTAGGAGGGGAATAATGGTACGGGGGAAAGATATTGTACAACTAAACTTTTAGAACTTGCTGGCAGCAACATACAAGAAAAAAAGAGGAAGACCGCCCAAAGATCCAACCTTGAGATTTCCAAGGGAGAACTGAATCGGGGTTGAATTGAATATTCAAGATTGATTTGACGAATTGATGCCTCCGGGAGAGTCCTGACAGCAAGTAGCTGGCAGGGGATAACAAAGGTATCCACATTCACGGTTGTGTCGGTCGTCGTACCTGACGAGTTGCGAAAATGCGCTAGGTCTCAGGGGTTAACACTACATGTAACTACATATCTAGATGTATATATGTACATGTTATCAAATGGCAGTAGCAGAGAAGCTAAAATACTCTTTTCAGTTACACAATTTCTACAATATTGAAGTTGAATAATAACAGTACCTGGATATCACAAACCTGGAATTACATGTACCTAGCTTTGAGCTTGTTTGACTTCCTCTTACCTTTCTAAGTCTAGCTACTAGAGAGAGAAAGAGAGAAGGCTTAGAACATAAGACATAAGGCATGATAAAGTAGTGATACCCTCACTTAAATATTACTTAATATAAATCCAATTGCAGGAATACGTGTAGTATTTACTGGCGAATAAAGATGTTAGCTTGAAAATAGTACTAGTAATGTCAGATGTTGGAAAGCTACTTGCGGCATAACTTCAATGGAGGTTAACCTTTCAGGATTTCACTTTAACTAGTTCAATATTCTTTGTCATTAGCAATATATCTGAATGATCAAAGTTATTTTTGCCTGCATTGCTACTCTACATGTAGCAAATAAATAGGTACCTCGATATAATAGAAAGTATTGCACTGATATATCGATCTAAAGCAGTATGGTCTCGGTATGTTCATTAAGGTTCGATTGGCTTATCGACCGATTGACCGCACATAACCGGGCTTGCCGGGGTCCACCTTACTTCATTTATGTAAAGGCGCGTAATAAGATTTTAATTCTGAAACAGGCTCTCACGCATAACCGCACTTTCTACTGTGCCCACATTTTCCTCGGCGAAATGTAGCTAGACTTAGCGCTGCAGACGTACGTTATTAGGCATCTACTAACACAGGTATGCATCGAGATGCAAGTAAATCTCAACTAAAGATTATAACAATACCTAACCTAACAATATATATTGTCGTCGTCGTATCAATGTTTATATGCCAGACATTCCTGTATCTCATATATTAGTTTACGTACGATAACCTCCGAGGACGTCTCATGTTCCTGAGCGTACCTAGTTTGTCTTAGTCAAATTCTAATAATAGGCTCACATATCTCACGAGGCATTCGACAGAGCATCCTCCTATTCTTTAACAAATTCACCCTATTCACCCCCAGTACATCCTCCTCCATGATGCCATAACCCTGACGATTCCCTTCTAGGTAGAGCACCGAAACTTTCTAGTCTCACATTCGAAGGGGTAATATATGGCAAGTAAATTTGTAAGCCAAGATGTATAAGATACTTAACTACTAGGAAGAACCCAGATAAGTTACGGCCGCCATAGTCATATATGCGAGTCATATACCATGTAATAAGCCAATAGCATGGTCTAGAATTAGAATGGAATACACTAGATTAGGTTGCTGGAGATTCTTCAAAGCAAACACATCGATAGATGATGCATTTGTATGATTGTATCAGCCACTTCCATATGTACTGCATGTCCACTATGCATGTATATGTACATAGTATGTACAGATTACCTTCGGTAGGTACATTAGTACACATGTGGTTAGGTGGTTCCACTACTTCAACCTGTCCCACCTGGCACCTGCTCTGCCTACAGGGCGGGACTTTGCAAACATACAAAACATCTTTCTTCGTTAACTAACTAGGTAGTTATATAGTTACCTGCTTACATCTTATTCAGTACCTGTATCAGTCGCTATCACATTTAGCTTGCTATATGTCGGGGATTCAAGAACTGCCAGATGAGCTTCAGCTCGCAGCCGCGGCTCACGTCAAGTATATTCAAAGCTTAGACACAAAGAAGGATGAATATGAGTACTGGCTCACTGAGCATCTCCGTCTAAATGGACTATATTGGGGACTGATGGCGCTCCATTTACTACGACATCCCGATGCGCTCCCCCGAGACGAGGCCATAGACTTTGTCCTCTCCTGCCAGCATGAGAGCGGCGGTTTTGGTGCCGCACCGGGGCATGATGCTCACATGCTCTACACAGTCAGCGCCGTGCAAATCTTTGTCCTACTTGATGCCTTGGACGAGCTAGAGAAGCGCGGTAAGGGCGACGGTAAGGCTCAAGTGGGCAAGTGTGAGTCAGCCAGCTACGTCCCGGTTTTGCTCGCCGCCACTGTCGCGTAAGAGCTAACTTAGTCTTCAGTCCTGGCGGATCTTCAAAATCGGGAAACGGGCACGTTTGCCGGCGATGAATGGGGTGAAGAAGACACGAGGTTTTTGTATGGCGCCTTGAATGCTCTCTCGCTCCTTGGCCTATTACATTTGGTCGACGTCAACAAAGCAGTTGACTACGTTGCTGCTTGCGCCAATTATGACGGCGGCTACGGTGTTAGCCCTGGAGCTGAGACTCACTCTGGTCAGATCTTTACTTGTTTAGCCGCTCTCTCCATTGCCGGGCGTAAAGACTTAATCGACGCTGATAAGCTAGGCGGCTGGCTCAGCGAAAGACAGGTCGCCTGCGGTGGCCTAAATGGGAGACCGGAGAAGAAGGAAGATGTGTGTTACAACTGGTGGGTACTGAGCAGCCTGGAAATGATCGGTCGCACACACTGGGTTGATCGGGAGAAGCTCATCAAGTTTACTCTGAGCTGCCAGGACAGCGAGCGTGGTGGACTATCGGACCGACCTGGTGACATGGTTGACATCTGGCACACGTTCTTTGGCCTGACTGGCTTAAGCTTGCTGAAGTATCCAGGCGTGGAAGCTATTGACCCTGTCTATTGCCTACCAAAGTACACTATAGATCGTGTATTTGGCAGAGCAGGATAACTGCACAACAACTTCTAGCAAATGTCTGCCCTGGTAGTCTACTCGTACACCTCGATCCCACACGTGATTTTTTTTTCCTTCTTTTTTCCTTTTTTTTTTCGCTCCTCGAGGCCTCGCTCATCAATGAAGGGCTAATACTATATCTTAATGCCTTATTGAGTATAGTTAGAGCCTGGTCAGAAAAACATCTCTTGCAATCTAATAACCTACTAACGTAAGTCTAAATGGTAGTTAGGATACAAGGCAAGAGTAGAGAGATCCCGAATGTTTCCCCTTCTTGCTCACAGTTTATTTCGCCATAACTAGAGCCATAAGGGTTGCACTCAGACATTTCATACTTGTTAATAGAAGCTTCATACATTCTAGCTTCTATCTCAGGAATTCCTTCCGTGTCACCATTTGCAATCCATCCCCTGTTTCACGATGTTCTCATATTTGGTTCTCTTTCGATTTCCTTCTCTACTTTACTATCAGTGTGGCATGTATCTTTAAGCCTTGGCTGTCCGCTTTACGACTACATAGTACTTACCAAGGCAAAGACCCCCGTAATACCGTAACCAATAATATCGAGATGGTCAGTTCACTCATTTGCCCTTATATAACATGCAAAAACGTGGTATCTTTTCAGTACTATATACTCTGGCTTGACTGTATGGCCAGTCGAGTGATTACTCGCGCGACCCCCTTTCCGATACTAGAATAATGACGTGCCCCTGTATACACACAATATCACCTTATGCGCTATCCTTCTTTCTCTGCCCACAGTAGAAGCCAAGCCCATAGTCATCCGTAGTAAAGGTGATCTTTGAGCCCTTGGGGAAATAGAAAACATCGCCAGGCACAGCGTGCACTTTGTTGCCTGCTTCATCGCTTATATCAAAGCTACCCTCAACAATTACCTTCACTATAACATCATAGATCCATTAGTCAATTAATCATTTCTCGGACTTTTTGTTCAATGAAGCTTACTCTCGTGGTATGTATACTCGTATACAAGCGGTGTTCCCTTCTCCAAACGGTAGAACCCGGCCGAGATAGGTTTCGCGGGGTCGAGATTCTCGCTGTTTTCTGGTTAGAGGAGAGACGTGTGATAACCTACGGCAGAACTTACGACGTCGAAACATCGCCTAGAAATGCATTATCGTTTGCAATTAGCGGCGGCTTGGTGCTCTGCGCATTGGAGTAGTAAGACATCGGGACAGGACCTGATGTGGTCGAGCCCGTCTTTGATTTGGCCTTGCTAATAAAAGATCCCATATTGTATTGTAAATCGGTTAACTCCTTATAGGTATCTCAGGATTAATTCTCTAGTAAGACTCGAATCTTGAGAATATATGTCTCTATAGGCCTCTATCTATACTATCGAGATATCTACCTAGGCTTCGTATCCCGAACTCGGCCGCGGCAGCTTTCTCCACTAATACGATTCACCACCTCCGGTCAGGAGATAACAGAATACCGACTTACATTTTCTTATAGCACAATGCGAACTGAGATGGGGAGCTTTCAACTGGCTCCTTTCCTGTTTACGGTCTGATCAATGTCTCTGGTTGGGTGCGCGTCCCTGCATTATCTTGTCCAGCTCCTAGATGCGCATCCTATCTACCCCAAATTTAGGTACCCATCCCGATTGGACGGGGATTGGACGGGGATTGTTCGGCATCGCATGCAGATAAGCTATACTCTAACTGCATCCTCGAATGCGGAGTTCGTGATCATCGCTACGTTCCGCTAGCACTATCACTTTGGGACTTGAGGATATTGGCCTGTACATATCTCAGTATCGCCACCCAACTTCCCCCGCACGCATCTGTATTGGCTTCCACCTATATCTTCATACAACATAATCAACTCTCCTATATTTTATTAGTACTGCCACAATTTTTCCAGCCAATCAGATCCTTAGAATCGCCCCGCAGTTGGCGACTTTTTCCTTTGCCATCCTATCGCATAAGGTCTGAAACACATGCAAATAGGATAGAAAGGTCATGCAAAACGCGCTCTATCCAACGATACCAATTATTAGAATTTTTATACAATATTATAGTAGGTCAATTGATTCTACGAAAAATTCATCGGACGTGCGCTAAGGTGTGGCTAGCCAATCAGAGGCCAGAGTTATTTGTGGCCGTGAAAAGGTCAGACTATTCATCACGTGCGTATGCTACGGAGGCTGGGAGGACCACGGCCACGGCCACGGCTGTGGCCGTGGCCGTGGCCTTAAAATATATGAAATGTTTTATTTTTTGAAAGAATTCATTGTTTAAAAAAAAAAAAACCTCCCCGTACGCGTTTGCGCGGACGGGGTAGCGCAGCTAGTATTGCAAATTTATCTATTATAATTGAGGTAAATATCTACATGTTCGATGTCAAGGGAACCCCACTAGGAGCTTAACAGGGGATGATAGTTAAACATTAAGAATTAAATACTATGATTACAATACTCATCTAAGTTTAATTACTCCGTCAGGATCGATAACCTCGAAATGCCCATCCCCACCAACTCCTAGGGATTTTAAATTAAGAAGTACTAAGGATGATCGAAAGTCTGCTCTAACGGTCAACCGCTCGCCCTCGGGCTCCCGGCCTTCTTTTAGCGTCACCAACAGGCAGGTCTTATCTTCCATAGTCTGTTCATCAAGAATAACCAGATGCTCAGAAACAATTCCCTGCCTGACTGGATCTAAATGCTCACGGGAAAACTTGACGATGTCTTCAATACCCCAGCCGTGAAAAGGGTATGAAGCTGGTTTCCCTACTGGTGCTCTTGTAGGTTTCGTGATAGCCTCGACGTCGAGAGTATCGACTAATACGGCTAGGTATTTCTTCACAATTAGCGTGCTCCTGAAGGGGGTTTATGTCGAACGGTTGAGACTGTTCTCAAACACATACCAATCCAATCTACACCCTCAAGCTCTGGCGCACCCAAGCTCCGCGTAAAGAATTCGTCTAATATCTATTAATTTCTGATTAATAAATTGACGAGTTTCCTAGTAGATTCCACAAACTTCTTTAGATATAGGGGCAGTACAAAATACAGGGATAGTATCTTGCAAGCTATCTGAGTCTGTCATATTTAACGAGTTGATGATTAGAAAGTTAGATAAATGAAGCCTTAGGTGGCTAATTAGTTCGTGTGATAGGATAGAGTTATATCGAATCAATTGGAAAAGATGTGTCAAGTATCGGAGACTTTTCAGAACTGTTAGTAAATTCATCAGGTCATGTGATAGGTGCCATGATAGAGTCTCAATGTTCGTTTATGAGATGAAAGGACCCTTAACACCTAAATGAAATGGCGGTTTTCTATATTGCCTAGTTATTCCTCCTTTATCTTCCCATACTGTATGGATGGATTATCATCAAGTCCCTCATCTATTCCATATATCCAGGGAGTGTATGGCACCATGAACGAACCTCTGTATATAGAGGTAAGAATTTTTACACATACTGGTCCTGTGAGGTTGTTGTAAGAATGTAACAGGGGTTAGGCCACTGGCCAGAGAAAAGGGTGTCTCTGATCCGAAGTTGGGAGAAACGATATGTGTTAACGACCTTAGATGTACTACCAGTTCTCTGGCACTGATATAATATTCCTGATTCTTCGAGCTATAATTGATTTATTTATTCCTCCTCGTAGTGCTTAGGATAGACTTGTCTTGTTTGGACTCATTTGATATTGGGAAGTGAGAGACATGACATAGGTAGAGCACCCCTAGATTAGGTACTTATCAAATATATAACCATATTGTAGACTCTAGTTAAATGAACTATTAATATAGTTCTTCGAGCCTCCCTGTAGCCCTTGCATTATTTCTAGTCCAAAGGTACCATTTTCCTAGCATTGGAATCGCTGTTGCTTCACCCAGTTGCACATCACCTGGCCGACACAACCGCAACACTTGCACGCCTATACCATCTCATTAGCAGACTACACGGAAATTAGGTTTCCTTGCGCGCCTTACCTTTTTGGCTCGTTCGTCATTATTCGTCCCGCCGATACACGATAGTGTTTGATTGTCCCTAAACCGGAATTGATTGTAGCAGGCATTAGCGTTGATGACATCGGCGCAATCATCTGTTGCCGCAAGCTCCCGACTACATTCAGGGACTTGCTGGCCCAGATTCAAGGAGAACCAGAGTGATGTGAGTGCGAAGGAGACTTTCATCGTGAATATCGTGAAGCTATTCTTTCTCAAAATGATTATATATATACCTGGAAACGGAATTTAAGGCTGTCTGACGAGTGTGTTTATAGGTAGGAATTGAGAGTATTCTACGAATGAGGTAGATAGCATCAGAGCAGATATACTAGCTGAGCTCTTGGATATCATTTACCACCATGTAAAGTCTCGGTGTGGTTTAATTATCACTTTAGCCGGACATGTCAGTTATGATTGGAGGTACAGCGCCGAGCTTCATGAGGTAAGAGATAACTAAGAATTGATCGTCCGTCGTCATTCGCCAAGAATAGAAACTTCTTGATATTATATGACAACTATAGTGCGGGGATTGTGAAGAAAGGGAGGCGGGATTGATGATTCCGGTCTAATACAAGATATCCCAACACATGGGTCTGCTGTAATCTGGGCGATATTTATTTCGAATTTTGAAGTTTCATTAAACTCTTTTCCTTGGGCCAGCGTTCCCATCGGCATCTAATATAGGTTTCTAATGTATAAGAACTGGTGTGGCCTTACTAAATCTTACAAGACATAGTGATGGAGTTATACATATACTACCCTTGTCTCCGATAGAGTACATAATAATATACAGTGAGGAATAGGGGCCTTATACGAACGAATGTACATATTTTAAAAGGGGCAGGAAATAAAAAATTATCTACCGAGTAGACATCAGAATTAACTTTACAGATATGTCACAAGTAGTATATGACTGGACAAGGCTGCCCGCCGTCTGTCTACCGAAGCTCTAGCCAGTGTTAACCCATGCTCAAGTCCCGAACCAGTAAACCCTTCTCCACATTAACCGGAATCAAAGCTAGACGGGTTCGCCTATCGAAATGCTCTCCGATATTAATGAGTAATATCCTCCGAGACCGAAAATTAAGCTGGGTTTTCTGTCGGGTGTGGGTGAGACGGCAGTGGTTTACGGAGTAGCAGGTGATCGTCATGGTTAAGACCATAACTACCCTATCACCTGTCCCTTTCTGACTTCGATTTTGGTTCTAGGTCCAGTGCTGACTTGGAATCAACAGCTTGAGAAGCAAGATCAAGATGCAGCTTAACATTTTCGCCGCTGCTTTTGGGCTGTTTGCGCCTGCGAGCGCACTGCTTCGATTCGGCTGCTCGGGTTTGACCGTCCAACGCCTAGATCCCTTGGTCAACCCGGGGATAAACCCATCCGCTCATCTCCACCAGATTATTGGAGGCGTATGCTTATATTTATCGAATTTAAGATTTTTTGTTAGTGACTAATGGTATACAGGATTCTTTCAATACATCAATGCCTCCTGAGACGCATGATCTCGCCGCGCTTTCGACTTGTACAACCTGCCAGTTCACAGAAGACCTCTCTAACTACTGGACTGCTGTCATCTTCTACCGTGGCAAGAATGGCACTTTTAAGAGGGTTCCGCAGATGGCCCAGGCAGGCATGGAAGGCACCCAGGGCGGCATGGTGAGCAAGGACCGAGCGTATTGGTTCTATAATAACTGTCTAACTCACTACAAAGGTTGTTTACTACATGACTGATGCCTTATTCGATACTACTCAGAAATCTACTGTTACAGCTTTCAAGCCTGGCTTCCGTATGCTTGTTGGCGACTCAACCTTCCATGACCGCGAGGAAGCTAGGAAGTGGCGCCAATTGACTTACATCTGTATGGAGAATCAGGGTACCCGTGCTCCAGAGAGTATCGGTTTCCCTACGAAGCCTTGCCCTGGGGGTATAATGGCAAATCATCGCTTCCCTACGTGAGTATCTCACACGTGTGTATGTTGAAATGATCTGACGCAGTGTAGTTGCTGGGACGGCAAGAACTTAGATTCTCCTAACCACCAAGACCACGTCGCGTACCCCGAAAGTGGTACTTTCGAGTCGGGTGGCCCGTGTCCTTCTACGCATCCAGTCAGGCTCCCTCAAATACTTCTCGAGACGGTCTGGGACACCAGGGCCTTCAATGACCCAGCAGACTTCGCCGACGGCAAGCAGCCCTTCGTCTGGTCGACAGGAGACACCACTGGCTATAGCAGCCATGCCGACTACATGTTTGGCTGGAAAGATGATTCCCTCCAAAAGGCCATGGATGGGCATACGTACGTCTCTGCTCCGATGCTCAAGACACAAAGTATTTCCCAGCAGAACAGATGCAAAGTTCCCGATATGGTAGGAGAAGATATCGATAGCTGTAAGTAACGCAATATGCTTCCAAGAATTTTGTTTCGGTGTCTAATTTCTCATAGGGTTGACCAACCTACCCGGTGCAAATCCGGTCGTGTAGGGAACGATTTTTAGGATAGCTACGGGTTACGGGCTGCGGACGACTTTGCGCGTCACCTACCTACCAGTTAATGTTCTTATTAATCCACCAAATTCTCGAAATACTTTTCTTAGTCGACTTATCAATTATGACGCGTTCCTAAGGTTGCTTAGCTTGATGTATTCCAATTTGAAAACTGTAGTGACATTTACGAATCTACCTCCTAAAGTACCTGTGCACGGACCTGGAGAAAAATGTACGCCTTCTCATTGGTTCAATTCTCACCTTGACACGTCCCCAACCTCATATCTCTTTGTAAATCAGAAGGACGTTAAATAAAAAAGGTGGCGCACCTATCAGCAATAATTATTTATGCCAGCCTATTTTGTTACCGCTGTCTTATTTTAGTACCGCTGTTATGAATACTACTGATTGTAAATTTACCGATTGTAAATTTTGACTGGATAGAGGTACTCATAAGTCATTAGCACCCATTGTTCAGAAATCAACATCAGCATATTAAGCGTGATAAGATAATGAAATACGAGGAAATGCCAGCTAAATTATTTACGTACGGGGGAAATATACGGGGGATCATACATAAGTCACAACATTGTGCTATTGTCTTGAGGGAAAGAACTACGAGCACGTTGAAGAAGCATCTAACCTAGGTAGATGCATGTACATACTAGATGACTGGAGGATCTATGTTAAATGTATAATCCTGAACTACATGAAATGGAATCTAAGTGTGTTTATGGTTTTAGTCTAATTTACTAGCGGCTTCTTAGAACTCCTTAATCATGATAGGCTTTTGAATATCAAATTTCCATAGCTAACAGTATTATCATACAGCTCAGTACCTACCTAATGTAGTGTCCTAGGAATCTATTACCGTACAATGTGTGAAGTTAATGTAATATGGGTTTTTCTTAACTAATTGATTAACTAGTTGCTTTGTATTATTTACCTACCTACCTAGGTACTCTTCAACCTTTCATTTCTTATGAGGGTGTGGTTTAGAACCTAGCAGAAACAACTGAGTCCATCGACATCGCCACCTGACATCTTCATACCTTACGATAGCTAACAAAAATTTCCAGCTTCGAGCCTCTTCGTTCCTCACTACTAACCTAAAGCAGTAATTACGATACCTACATCAGGATCATGCAATTCCCTGTAGTCCCAAGGTTCCCCCTATATTGTTTATTTTTCTACAGCACTATTTTGTTCTCTTAGTTGCCTAGGTACCTACCTACTCATTATGTATCTTTTAGAAATGTGGTTGCCTAATCTCTCTCGTACCTTCCTCATATACCTAACCTACATGTATGTACCTACCTACGTAAGGTAGTTTACAATGTTTCTGCATCAAATTAGTACAAACACACAAGCACAGGCCACATTATCTTTCAGCGCAAGAGATACCTGTAAAGACAACCTAGAATCGCCTTTTACTTCTGTATTCTTTCTACCTTAGGTACATACCTACATAGAGTTACGTAAAGTTAGGTACATAAATGCAAATAATACATGTATGTATCATGGTTGATGTAGGATCAATTGGAAACAACGACGTTGATTAGGAAGGCACCTTACCTTACGTACCAGACCACCTCATACATTTTACCAAAATTTTGGCAATTGCTGTGTTGTATCTAGCAGTCACCGTCCATATAACGTAACCTCCTCCTCCCTCGCACTACGAAAACTCTTATATTCCAGTCTCTACCCCTTCTTCACCTTCTACTAGGTAGTCCCACCTATCAAACAACACAGATCAACCAGGGCGGATGTCTACACATCCAACGGCCTTATCTTCCTCAAGTTACACAGGGCTGATCTAGGAGTCAACACCTTCTTCACACTTCCTGCGGAAAGAGTTCATAACAACCAGAGTAAGTAACCACTCAACATCGTTGGATTTCTTTCTAGTCTTCTCCTTTGAAATACCTCAATTCCAGGTATCTTAATTCACGAGAGCACAATACCTCTTCCTCCTCCAACTCCTCCGAAAAAGTTATTCTCACTCTCCTAATTTTACCTCATCCTCCCTCATCTTTACCTCCCGCTCTATTATCATCTATCTGCCTTATACGAAAAACTTTCTATTCCGAGTCGGAATCACGAAATTTGATCACATATCACCACACTTCCATATTCCAGCCATACTCTATCTAACAAGCAGCTATTTACGATATTAGGCCCCCATATCCTCATTCGATTCTCACAACGCCCCGAATTAGTGTGACACCCCAATCTTGCCTTGGCCATATCACCCTAATTCGTCCAACATATCCTTCGTTCATTTGAGTGACCGCTTTTCTACTACCTACCCAACGCCTCCCCACATCTCCCGGATAGCCATAATTCGGTCGGAGATCATATCATTGGAGATTTGAATTGCTCTACGCCATCTACAAGCGATAGAAAATTTGGGTAGATTACTGATAATCAATTCAGCAACCCTGACTCCTCAACCAGGGAATCGGCCACTCTAGTTAAGATATAGGACGACGACTCACCCGCCAAATAGATCCGAATCCTACTTCTTGACCAAGGTCTTGGCATCTAGATTCTGCATACCAACCTTGCGACACAATACAACCCCAGTAGTTTGACGCAACTACTAATCGATCTATCTCAAGATCAGCTAATATTAGCCAGGAAAATTAATCTTTAGTGTTATTGGCGGTCCCATTTCACGAATTCTCGATACTTATTACCGTGACTGCGGATCCCCCAAGGCTATTGGCAAAGGCTCGATAGGCAGATTCATTGAATCCCTTTCCCTTGCAGACGTATTGGGCTGATCTTTCGTCTGATTGCTATTGGCCGCTTCGAGTTAGATATTGACTCGTGTTTAATACAGGCGGGGCCTTTTAGGTATGTGGAACTTCTAGGTTTTTCCCTATATCCAAACTTTGAGGAATTGCTCCTCGGGAAATCCAACTGCTTCATTTCCCCGGTGAATTTGACCTCTAGGACTTGGGGTGCTGTTTGTTTAGGTTTCGTCTTCTCCCTTGGTCTGGTCCGCTCTTTTCTTAGGGACTGCCTTTTGACCTTGGCAGCCTACTTCCTCAGTTTTCCGTCCAACATGATGTCAGTTTACCTGGAAACGATACGAATATATATGTATATCTATGGTGTTTGTAATGGCGTCTGTGTTATTCACCGGTACACGATATGGCTTCAAAGCCACTTCTGATGGCCTTATTTTTATCACCCCAGTGTTCATCAAATATAACGGTAACGGCTAAACTCTATTATAAGAGCCAAAACGCTGACTCGTTCGTTTTAGAGGAAATGGCATCCTACTCGCGTCAAGCCTACCTTGCTGAAGACCCTGGTGGGGTTCTCCGTGATATTGAAGTCGACGAAGAAGCAATGATGTCACCGCATCGAGTCGATCAAGGAGGCATCCCGCTCGTCTGCTACGCTTGCGAAAAGATTCCAACCTTCTCTGATCTTTCTCATCTGATCACCCATGTCAGCTCAAAGGCCCACCTACTGGAGCTTTACAACCTACGCATCAAGAGTTATGGCAACGAAGCATGCGCTGCTCAAGCTCGCAAGTTCGAAATCTGGAACCAGACATACAACATTGACCAGTTGGTTCGGCAGCGTATGGAGGCAAGGGACGAAAAAGGTATCCAGCCACAGCGACGTGGCTATACTCAGAGAGACGAAGCCTCTGGTCGATCGACAGCACGTCGTGGCGCTCGCGGTACTCGTGGCCGTCGTGGCAATGTGGTAAGTCTTACTTTGGCTCTTAGTAGTGAACTAATGTTCTGACGTATTATGTACTACAGAACTCCCGTGGTCGCAGTCGCAAAGTTTCTGATCTTACGGATATCAAACACGAGCCAGATGATGGCATGAGCTTTGGAGATGGCTATGAAGACCTACAAGGTCCTTCAATTCATTCTTGGCAAACTAACCTTAACCCGCTCATGTCCCAAGAGGGTGATCTAGATCTGATACCACAGGGAAACTTCGAAGACTGGGGAGACGAAGAGGATCTCGTAAAATATGAGTCTTCGGAGGCTGAAAGTTCCTACCCATCGGAGAACCTCACCGAGGTCACAGAAGTTAACGAGAACGATACGGGTAGCCTTAGTCTCAAGGGTGTGGTATATCCTGGCATGGGTCTCTTTGATGCCGCTAAGGAGGAACAACGGCGTAAGAGAAACCAGCGCAAGCCTCCCGCTGTTCTTCTGCAGCTGGAAATCAACTCGAGAATGGTTACAACGCAAGAAGATGTATATGATTTAAATCTCGAGTACCAACGATCTAGAGATGTTTATGATGATCCATCCATCGATGGGAGCGAGGTAAGTGGAGAGGGAGCCACAGCTTGGTATAACACACTCACTAACATGCAATTCGAGGACGAGGACGATGTAGAGAGAAAGCCTAGACGTCGAGGCGCCCAAGCCCACGCAACTTTAGTTTCCAAGAGGGCAAAGCACCGTACTTCATCTCGTGATACTCGCACCACACGTACTACTCGAGCAGCGGCACAGGCTGCACAACGGTTCACATCGACAGAAGACTTCATTCCGCCAGCGCACAGTCGAACTTTGAACGCCGGGGGGAGGATTGCGAGATCTGCTTCAAATTGCGGTTCAGTGTCACAGGCCCAGCTACCCCTTCATAATCATGGGTTTCAGGGAGAAAGTAGCATAATCCACGATCCTTTGGTTATGGACAATGACCTAGGTTGGGTGCTACCCCATGAATCTGCCGGTGACACTCCGGCTGACATTGAACAGCAGACGTTGCCGATACCCCCCCTGGTAGACGAAGGCGACAGTGAGTCATTAATAATGTCCCAATTCGCGTATACTGGGCTCACATACCTTGACAGTCAAGACCGTCTACCCGGCCTTGCCTTACGACCAGGCAACCCGAATCTGTCGTTCGCGTCTCCAAGCCCTAGTCTCAAACGACCCTCATCGCATTTTCTCGGGAAGGAGAATGATAGCTTAGCACGAAAACCGCCGGTCGCATCCTCGAACCCCTATCTACAGTCCATCAATTCTACCCACAATGAGAATTACAACCCGCTTTATGTCCAACCTCAAGACGGACTTGCGTTTCGCATGTACGATACGTATGAAGAGGACGTAAAGCCGGTAACAGGTTTCCACCCTGTCAATGGTCACGACGGGTTCAACTCTTTACAGATGCAGGCTCATCATGGTGCAACGTATGCCTCCAACCAGACCGGTGCTGACGATTTCGATATTTAGAATATCGCATTTATTTGGTACGACCTACACGTCTCGAGTCGTCGGCTAGCGAATGCCACTTATGTTCTCTTCTTAAACGAATTAAGCTACATATCATCACTGGCCTTGAACACATCATGCTCTAACTTTCGAAAGTGGAAAAGTCCGTAATCTCAAGGTAGTAAAAGCACTGGTACGTTCCCTCCTTTTAACAAGGACTACCATCACAGGTACTCATATGACATTCCATGAGTTCGCGATCCTAACCACAATCATAGGCAAATCATATTGGAGTGTATACTATTACGATCGCGTTTTTGCAACTCGATTGGACGTCTTATCGACCCATGGTTGGCCGTTTGACTGCTTCTTTTAACACCGTCGATGTACATACTCGGCCCTGAACCCCTTGTTAGATTGTCATTTCTCCCTTCACCACCCCAACTTGCAGGACAATGGGCTTCGGCTATCTCATTCGCTAACTTTAACCTACTGCCTGCCATGGATGAGTTAGATTCGAGAGTGAAGATTTTCCGCCCTAGGTATGGTAGGCTCATCCCAGTATCAGGGCAAACTACCTAGGTATCGACCAAGGCATCATAGGGCCGCGGGATTAGGTTGATGAGATGGAAACAAGAGACTTTACACTATTCGACGATGAATCATGACTATATTAGGTCTAAAGGGTAGACTATCTTAACGATTTTGGCGATGGACTCACATATTTATTATTAGTACGGGCTTGTTGTACATTAAGTGATAGCTGTTATTTAGACTACCACACGTTCTATTACATAAATTGCAATGAATTCCGCCAATATGGAATGACACACTAAGAGTATAGACATCGTTGAGGGATCTCTAGAGTTGCTCAATACTCGATACAAGATGATCTAACTGGTCAGGTCCGTTCCCCAATACATCGGCCAGGAGCCTGGTCGCGCCATTCAGCCTACGTATTTTAATCATTTCCTCGAGTTCCCTAGACTTTCTTGCTGCAACATCCAGCACTTTCCGCGGAATGCGAGCCAATCTCGCTACATTTAGACCGTAGGATCTGTGAGCCATACCCTCACCTACCTCGTATAGAAATGTGATATCCTCTTCTTCTCCATCTTCATCTTCGTCGTTACCTTCGGCTCGCACTTCCTCACCATCACCGCCGCGCTTGGTGGCAGTAAAGCGCATGTGGACGTTCTTGCAGCGGCCGTCGAGGCCGTCGGCGACGCGGGCCAGGTTCTGATAGTGGGTGATGAAAAGGGTGAGACAGCGGGTATCTTGCACGACATGGGTGAGGACGGCGTGGGCGATGGCGGCGCCGTCGTGGGTGCTGGTGCCACGGCCGAGCTCGTCGAGGACAACTAGGGAGCGCGGTGTCGCCGCGCGGAGGATGCGCGCTGTTTCGGAGACTTCGACCATGAAGGTGGATTCGCCAGCGAATAGGTTATCGCGCGCGCCCATGCGCGTGTAGATTGCGTCGGAGAGGGTTAGAGTCAAAGATGAGGCGGGCACGAAGGATCCGATTTGTGCTAGGAGTACGAGGAGTGCGACGGCGCGGACGAAGGAGGATTTACCGCCCATGTTGGGCCCTGTGATTAGGTGCGCGAGGGGCGTTGGGGAAGATAGGGTCGTGCTGAAGGGGATATAAGACGTCGTTAGGGTCTGTTCTGCGATAGGGTGTCGGCCTTCGCTGATGGAGATGGTCGGGGGTGAGTCGGATGGGAGAAATGTGGGTTTGGAGTAGCCGGGAAGGGCGGCGACCTTGGAGAGGGAGAGGAGGCAGTCAAGCGTGGCGAGGGAAGAGACGGCGTCGCGGAGTGGTTGGTAATCTGATGCAATGGCTTCAAGTAGAGAGGTGAAAGCTACGTCACAGGCGGCTGACAGAGCCTCCTTGTGCTGGTCTCGCTCCGAGATGAGGCGGACGACCTCTGGTGTGTGGAAACGCGAGAGCTTCTTCGTGCCGCTAATCTTGAGCCAGGAGGCGGGGACGCGCTTAAGGTCGCCATTTGGTACCTCAATAAGGTACTCAATGCCGGCGACGGTGACGTAGGGGACGGGGGACTTCTTGCCAAGAGTCGAGGCAGCTACTTTGCGGTGGGCATCCAACTCCTGTTCCACAGACGCGATGCCTAGTTTGTGCTCGGTGATGGCGTCCGTTTCTTCGCTCTCGCGGAAGAACGTGTACTTATCGTCCCGGCGCGCAGCCTCGGCATTAATGCGATCGAGATACGACAAGACGGTGGGTAGTATGAGGGGTAGTGAGGAGATGGCGGAGTTAATTGCTTCTGCTGCGAAGCCCGTGTCTTCAGATGACTTCACCCGGGCGAATTCCATTGCTATCCTTTGAAGTGTTTGAAGGACCGCTAGGAGCTCGGGACGAGTACACTTCCCATAGTATATACGGATTAGACTTCGCTCAAGGTCTGTCCTAATACTCTTTAGCAGATGCTCTAGTTGGTCGACCTTGGCTGTCGAGGCGTTCTCGAGTAGCTCCTCGATAGCGGTTACCCTTTCTTCAAGGCGTTCCTTGTCCAAAAGGGGCCGACCAATCCATTTGCGAAGTAGCCTCTGTCCAAAGCGAGTCAACGTCTTATCGAGGGCCCAGAAAAGACTGCCCTTTTCGGTGTGGTCGGTTTGATTGCGATACACCTCAAGGCTCTCCAAGGTTGTGCCGTTGATCAACATATGCTGACGAGCAGTGAAGGACTGGAAATACTTAGTTAAATCGAATATATGCTCGAGGCCGTACTCTTTCAAATGGTTGATCATAGAAGATAAGCAGATGGTGACAGGCTCTGGTAGTTTGAGGACTTTGTCAAGAAGTGCGCTAGCTTGCTCATTATTACCTTCGGAAGCCTCCTTTAGTTTAGCAGAGTAGAACTGGGCGACATGCGAGTAAGCTTCGGCGGCAATTGTCTTGGACTTAGGAATCCTTTCAATTCTGCTTCGATCGCCAAATACGTTGGTGGCGCTGCCTGATAAATGCTGAAGGAGCTTGTCCGTAGCTTTGGAGAGATCACCAACAATGAGAAATTCGCATGGTGAAATATGCAGGAGTCTCGTTTCGATCTCGCTTCTCATGAAGCCGTCTTCGAAGTTGTCATATATGATATCACCGGTCGCAGGCTGTACTGCGATGATACCAACATCGACTTTCTCGTCAGTACCCCATCCTTTAGCCTTTGTCTCCGTGATACAGAGGAGATATCCGCCTGCTGGAGCCCCCGAGTTATCCCTCTGGTCCAGCTCCCCAATCTCGTCAACGTACGTTCCCTTAGTATAGACATTGGTAAGCTTTCTCGTGAAGGGTGCATTGCGGTTATCACCGGCTTTCTTCAACGCTGCAGTCTCGATTTGGCGAACAACACCAACTTTGTGACCAGCTGCGACCAAGCGCTTAGCGTGTACCGGTAGTCGGTGCACGGGAATACTTGCAGACGCGAATCTGTCAAGATGTGCTTCAGAAGGGTGCTCGTCGTATCTGAACTTGCCGGGTATACAGACTATACTAAGCTCCTTGGCGGCGATACGGGCGTCCTCGCCAAAGAACTTGAACTTATATCCCACTTCAACAATCAATATGGTGTCCATGTGCTTTCTCTTGATGTCCAAAAACTGTATCTCCATTGGTGTGAGTTTCCCCGTCTTGGCTCCCTTCTTCTTGCCTTTCGTAGGTGGTGGCGGTTCTTCCTCTTCGCCATCTTCTGCGTCCTCGGCCGCAGCTTGGGTTTCATCATCTCCCTGCCCGGTTCCACGTCTACCATATGCCATACTATCCGGGCGCCCGAGCTTCTGTACAAATTTACGGTGAAGCTCTTCTTTTCTCCGCTTCTCATAAGCATCATCTTCCCCCTCCTCGTCGACTGCATCTTCTCGAGAGGTTGAGCCGTTGTATATATAACGTTCCGTACGAGTACCCGGTCTGCTTGGCGCTAAGGTAGGGGAGGATCTAGCAGCTGAGTTCTCTAACTCGTCATCCTCGTTTTCTATATCGGTGACTTTCGACTTTTTCTTAGGGGGCGTGTTATTCCCATTATCGGTGTCTTCTCGGAGCGGTCTCTTTCGGGAGCTATCAGGGGTATTATTGGGGCTCTCGGGATCCTGAGTCTGGGGCTTTCGGAGGGATGTAGCTAGACCATTAACGGTCCTCGGGGTGAAAAAGTTAGTGAGAGATTGCTGCTTTTTCTCTTTGGGCTGGCCGGCCATTCTGAAGATAGTAGCAACTAATGTCGCTAGTAATGCAAATTGCCAATGGTGGTTTCAATTTTGGAGACAAGTCGTCATAAAGTTGAGGGCGGGACGCGTCTAAGAATCAGTAAACGCGTTAAGTGTCCAGCACAGACCAGCTTCTAAAGTTTCTGCTTCAGGGGAACTCCTTGCCAATCTCCATGCCAATCTCCACTAAGCCACAGGATACATGTCTGCCCGTACCGCTAGGGGAAGACTAACCCCCACGCAAATTCAACCTAATATTTCGTACTTCGTACACCACTAACTACCTCTTTACTACAACTTCTTTACTACAACTTCTTTACTACAACTTCTTCACATAATCACTCATCACCCAGGTTTTCATATTGCCATTGACATGAAAGATATGAAATTATTCTATATACCCTATATGTATCCTCTTCAGACATCTATCCTATCCAATCTACTCTATTTTACTAAGAAACAGTTTTCCGAGATCCCGCCAATCCGATCCAATTCCAATGGTTATGTCCTGCTAAACTCTTCTATAGTTCAGCTTCATTACCGTTGAATGCGATCAAGTTGGGACTTCCATTTGCATTCTGCACCTTGTCTCGTGTTCCGAGGTCAATCAGGCGACTGGTGACCTTTTGCGCGCCTGAAATTGACTCTCGCGACATCAAGTACGTCACAAGTCCGGCGACGTGAGGACAAGCCATGCTGGTTCCGCTCATGGAGACATAATCCGAGTCACTATCTATCCAAGCTGAATAAATATCGCTTCCCGGGGCGAATATGTCCACACAACTGCCCCAGTTGGACCAGTCTGGTCGATTGTCGTTCTGGTCAATAGCTGCTACCGTGATCGCTTCCGGAACTGCTGCCGGACTGTACGTGCATGCGTCGACGCCGTAGTTGCTAGCCGCCACTACTAATGTCATGCCAGTTGCAACGGCATTCTTGACAACGTCGTCTAGAGCCTGGAATCTGGGGCCGCCTATCGACATATTGATTACAGATCGGTCAATTTTCCCCTTCGTTTGAGCATCGTTCACGGCTGGTAGAGGTTAGATTCTGTCATTGGTATTCTCTCGTTCGTAGCGACTTACCCCAGTCTATTCCAGCAATGATTCCAGACCAGCTTCCAGATGAGTCTTTGTCTAGAACCTTCACTCCGATGAGCATAGTACTATTATTCACTCCAACCGTGTTGCCGCCGACGGTTGCAGCTGTATGGGTTCCGTGCCCGTTGTCGTCAACATCCTTTGGCAAATATCAGCAAATGTTACAGTAAGCTTCGTCAGTACAACTTACCTGAGCCCCGTTGATGAAGTTCTTGCCAAATGTAGCCCGTCCTCCAAACTCCTAGCTTAAGTCAGTCACCAATGTTCAATATTGGATTGAATGCGGAATGCGGCTTACCTGGTGAGTCACGCGAATTCCGGTGTCTAGTATGTAGGCGTAAGTTGGAGATTCAGTATTGCTGGCGACGTCGTCTACATAGGTCGCAACACCGGGGTCCCGATGGGAAATTCGACCCAAACCCCAGGTATCAGCCTGGGGGTCTGATCTAGGAGCATTGCGAGAGATAGCTGCTTGAGCAGTCACGCGGCCATCTCGAGCAACGTATGAAACCTTATACCAGTTAGAATAGCTTCATTGGAAGTGTATAATTGACTCACCAGAGGATCATTACGGATATTGTCGAGAGTTGCATCGTCGCACTCAACGTGGTAGCCATTGAAACCAGGAACCTGATAGGTTTTCACGACTCCCTTCTTGGCACCTTTGGACCGCTGAGAAGAAGTATAATGGATCCGCTGATAGTGTGCTTGAAACGTCTTCGGAGTAGCGCTTTTCATAACTACAATATAGTTATCGTCTATGCCATCTGCAATATCTCTATGCATGAGAGGCGCCTTGGCTAGAGCAAGAGGCACCAAAGCCGCGAGAAGCAGATGAAAGGTCTTCATCGTGATTCTTTTCCGAGTTGGCAAGACGGAGATGTACTTCTGAATAAGCTAGACGAAAGGCAGCGGAATAAGGATATGATTTATGAGGCTTGAATAGGGTTTGCTGGATCAGCTGGTCAGGAATTATGATAGATAAACTACACCGTCTTCATTGATTCTTTTATAGACAGAACGGTTAGGAGAGTCCCGAGGTCTCCATTGCTTTCATGGTATCTTCCGTAGCACCATAAACACTTCAAATGACTCCTCATGCAGTAACTCTATTCACTTTCTTGTTCTCGACACCAAATGAGGATATTTTCTGAGACCCGAATAGTGACTTAGTAGCACAAATATCCATCCTCAGCTCACGGGAAGGGCCGAGACTTCTAACTGAGTGAAGTAATCAACTCTAGAAGTATAATTCACTCGATAGCGCCAATTTGATGACAAACACTCATCAATGAGACCCGCTCATGTGAATATGAGAGACTTTCTATTCTTCGACATGTCTCACGGATCTGATCGGAATTATTAAGCTTGTGCTTGCGTGACGGTCGCATCGGAGCTAATTCTAGTCACACAACCAGCAGTGAGGCCGTGATATTGGGCCAACTTGAATCGATAAGGCTCGCAATCGGGACCTGATCTTGATTGTACTGGTAGCTAGGTTGCGATTTGAGGCCAGCTATTACCATCTAGTCACCACTAGCATCCTAGCATTCGAGGCAAGTCAATTGTGAAGCTTGATCTCATAGTACACCATTAAGGGGCAATGCCCAATTACCAGAAATGCCATGTAAAATTGCACAACTACCTGCTTTTCGCTTGTCACATTCACGCGTTTTGGATATATCCTTATATTTCAGTCTTGTATAATTTGTAGTTCGACTTTTAGCCATTTGAGCCTATCATCGATAGTTATATACCTCGCCCAGGGTTAGCCGTAGGAAAATCTCGATTAATTGGTGATTTATGTCCCAGCTGGCTGACCGCCTTTGTATGACGGTGCCAGTATCAAACATGTTGACCTAATGAAGTCATACGAGGAGAGCAGCAGGGTATTCTATAGAATATAGGCTTGTCCTACGGAACAAATTTATAGTTCCTTAAGCTACCTAACGTCCAAGCGGCAATGGCGAGATCGTTAGTATGTCTAACTATATTTAGTCGCTGACCACTTTCTTGCCTTCCAAGTAGTCGATACTACCTCGTAGGGCCAAGTGTATACAATGTGTGACCCTGTACGACTTGTACCGGAGACATACCTATTTCGTATTCTAAGGAGTACAGAAAGGTTAAAGTGTCTTATCACAGAAGGCTAGCTGAATAATAGCCCGCAAATAAGGTGATTTCAATATGGCAATTGCTGATACAAGTATGGCAATGTGGAAATGGCTAATGCAGGCAATATTTCGAAAGTTGGCTTCTTAGGAAACAAATGGTTATTGGCCATATATGAAAGCTGAACTTGTTTTAACTAACACAAAAACGCCGCCAATGATTCACATGTCGTATTCCTAATGTTTATATACGTGCAATAAGAGAATCGGAAGGACATGCCTATTATAATTAGGGGGCTTTTTTTTGTATTAACATGCCCATATAGTATCTTTGAGGGATAAAGTGAATATAGGTACCGACTCGCCTTTGAAACGCTTAGATACATCAATAATACGGAAAGTGGCAGTATTGGCAATGCATCAGTAACGAAAGATGGAAGTGTGTGATGCTTGTGCTCCTTGATCGTAATATCTAGCAACTCTGAAAGCAAGGGGCACCTGGTTAATCAAATCTAATCAATTGGATCGATTTCCTTTACTCTTGTGTTGATGTCATCGTGTATCTGGCATTCGAGGTATTCTATCTGGATAGCACCAATACTTGGTAGTATACCACCGTCTCTATACCTATATTCCCTGTGAACTTGGTCACCGGATACCTTAGGTAGGTACACATACCTGTCTCGTCGAGGCATGCAATTATGTAGAGCTAGGACTCGGCGAGGCCGTCAAAATTGTGGCACGAGAGGACTAAAAATTGTATCTTTCTTGCTATATGACTTTAAAGCTTGTTATCACTACTGTTACCTGCACACCCTATAGAAGAAGCCCTGTGAGCTAACACATGCCAGTTTGGAAACTTCAAATGACGTTGCGAAGAAAATTGCAGATTAGTGCTATATTCCTTCTAGGCGCAATGTCAGTTTAGTCCCCACATCGTTAAAATGTAAATTGAGCTGATTATTAGTAGGACGGTCGGTGCCAGTATTGCGAGAACGGTTATCCAATATGGCGTTGCTAGAGAATGTATGCTCATTCCCTCCCAAGTGAACGATTTAATGGTGACACTTTTTAATCTCTGTCTAACAGTTGATTCGCACAATTTGGATAAAACATGTAAGAGTCGAACCAGGAATATCGTAGCTTAAAAAACTAACCTGGAATCAGATTACCTTGCCCCTATTGTCTACTGGCCATTGATCGAGGCAGCACTAGGAATTGTAGCAGGATGCCTGCCACTACTTCGCCCTATTGGTCAAATATATTCTGTCAGGAATCTGGTCCTTGTCTCGAGTAAGGCACTGTCTACTATTTTTACAGCATCTAGCCGAAGCAGTCGAAAATCAAGTCGTGGATATGCAAGTAATTCGGAGACGGGGAGCAGCCCACCCACTAGACGCGAAGATACTTCACAGAGCGACAAGTGGCTCAGGCCGTACAACCTCTCGTAGGCCACTTACATCCCAATCTCAAGATGCACTGACTAACAAAGTCATAGAATCCTCCAGCAGACTATCGACAATGAAAGCCAAGTTGAATCTCACCCGATGTCCGCCGCTTCTGATGAAGAGGCTGCGAGTGACGATATCAAGTGTGAAAGAGGGTATCAAGTAAACTACGAAGTCAAAGAAAAGACGGATTCGAACCTCTGAACTAAATATTTCAGCTAAGAAATTGTAACGCGTGTAACGAGTTATTATGGAAGACATACCTAAATAGTTACTTATATTTATGAGAAGCACTCTGGTATAATAACCGCACTGTATGATATAGCCCTGAAAAACTACAATTTGGTAGCTTGAGAAAATCGATATATTCATTGACTCTCAGTGCTGTGAAAGTGCCCTTTCCGTACCCGAGGTGTCTGTTCTAGAATGTAAGGAGTTCAATTTAAGAGAGTTAAACTGTATGGTGATTTTACCTACCTCGGCAGGTAGGTAGGCTCTCGGAAACAAAGGAGGTGTGGATGGCCATATCCCCGTTCGTCACATTTGGAATACCCCTTGCATGCACTTAAACGGGTCATGCATACCTACATGTAGGTAATCATTAAATCTGCTTAAGTACAGGTCTGTACTCCCCCTTTCCTTCGTACAAACAACGTAATCCGCATATCTAAGCGACAAATTTACAGAGTAAACTTCGTGGCACTGAATCTCCAAAACATGGCTTCTACGAATAAAATAATTGAGCTTTCCTCGCTTATCGCGAGGGAAACGGCGTTAATCAACGACTTCCTCGTCAGGAACAAGTTGCCTACCCCGTCGCTGGACGCCAATGCCCTACAGTCCATACCTATCCCAGATAGTGCCACGGATATCAAGGCGGCGAGGATCGCTGTGATCGAGGCCTGTTCGGAGTTAGAGGCACTTATGACTGGCCCGAAAGAGCTACTGAAATTCAAAGTTAATTCGTCACAGTCTATTCATGATGAACTTTAGCTAATGGGTTGTTGCAGTGGACTGCCTACGCCAGCGTGAAAGCGATCCTTCGCTTCAAGCTGGATAAATCCTTTCCTACGGGGGAGTCCACCTCGTTTGAGGCCATGTCTAAGTTCTCAGGTCTTAGCGTCATGAATGTTCGACGCATCGTTAGGCATGCTATCATCAACCATCATTTCTTCCAAGAGAATACGCCTGGGGCCATCACGCATTCTGCCCTGACAACTTCTCTGGCTAGTGACGAAGGAATGCGCAATTCCCTCATCGTTGAGCTGGACGAATTTTGGCCGGCGGGAGTCAAGGTAAGGCCGATTAAGGAACTTAAAGCCGGTGTGCTGACGCAAGTAGATGGCAGATGCTCTAGAAAAGTGGCCAAACTCAGAAGAGAACAATGAGACAGTAGGCCATGTCCTCTAACTGCTGCTCTTGGATATAGCACCAACTGACAGTATCTCAGGGGTTCGCCCTCGCTAACAACAGCAACAAAAGCATGTACGATATCCTTGCTGAATACCCCGAACGTGGAGAGAGGTTCGGACGGTACTTCTCTCAACCTGGTAGCACGGATGACGGGATTTTTGGCAATTACCCCTGGGCAGAAAAGACGACCATGGTAGACGTCGGAGGGTCACATGGTAGTGTTGCCATCGGCATCGCTGAACGGTACCCGAATATGAAATGCTTCGTACAGGATCTCCCAGACACAGTCGCGGAAGGAGCGTCGCGACTGCCCGCTGAACTTCGAGATAGGGTCACCTTCATGGCACAGTGAGTCAACTTACACCGCTTGAGCTACTGGCATATTGATCATCGACGTTGCAGTGATTTCCTCACCGAGCAGCCACTAAGCGTGGACGTGTACTTTTTCCGATCCATTTTTCACAATTGGGCGGATAAGTATTGCATTAAGATTCTTCAAAATCTTGTGCCTGCGCTCAAACCAGGCGCAAGAATCATAATTCATGAGCGAATTCTTCCCGGCCTCGAGAACCTCACCACAGTAGACGCCCGAAGAGCGATGTAAGTTTTCCGTTGTATCCATCATTGGATAACCTAGGTATGAGTCAATTCAGCTGACCAATTATTCGCTCAACAGCAATCTGGACGTAGGAATGTTGCAGCTCTTGAATGCGCAGCAACGCGAGATGCATGAATGGCCTGAACTGTTCCGCCGGGCAGATTCTCGGTTTCATTATTTGGGTGCGCGCCAACCCGCTGGTGCCATGCGATGGATCATCGAAGCTGAGTGGCAGGGATAAGAGAGTGAGTGCTGTAGGCCGCCGGAAGGATTGCGCAGCCCGGGTAGCATCTTGCAGCAGTCAGCCTTAGCGGTACATGAAGGGCCCCCACTCGGAGCCTGGAATTGACGCGTAGGGGGTAATTCGTATACTGCATTTAATTCAGTGAGATAATCTCTTCGTGCCATGGGCAACATGCCTCACGATCATCCATACGCAACCGTGGATCAGAATGAGGATGCTCATGCCAGCGATCCGGCCGATGAGATTTCGATATCCGAAGAGAAACAACATCTGTGTCGGAAAACATGTGCATTTCGCCCTAGTTTGACATATTTTCTCGTATCTGGTGCCCTGCTCTTCCTGTCATTCATCTCCGGGTCAGTGTTGCATCCTGTATCTTTATCAAATTTCAACACAATCGATCGTCCTCATTCCCAAGACCAAGATGGTCCTCGGAAATTCGTACCAATACGTGAGCACACTCCCATTTTCAAGGGGAGAGGGTTGGGTGGCTTACTTGTTCGCTCTGTGAACAGTCCCCTTAGAGACCAAGACATTCGAGTTCAACCGGACGTTCGCCGATGACCCGAGCGAAAACGTCACAGCAGCATGGCTGTCTTTAATACCAAGTAAATACCTTTTGTAGGAGTCCTGAACAAGTCTGGCTGACACGTACCTATCAGAGGGCCAAGGAGTCATTCGTCTCCCATTGCGCCATGAGTTCGACAGCACGATTTACAACATAGCTGCATACCATACTTTACATTGCCTTGTATGTCTGTCTATCTTCTTGCTTTCTATCCCAGCATTTAGCGTGTTCCCCCTGTTATCTCCTTCCGCTCGTCTAAGTCTCCCCATCTAAGCCACCAATGCCACCAGTACACTCTTCGCGAATCCTTCTTCTCCTTTTATGATATTTCCACCGGCTCCGTTACGCTTGACGCCGCAGAGACTGCACACATGCTCAAGCATGGACGCCACTGCATTGAGTACATCCGGCAGGCACTCATGTGCAATCCCGACCTCACCCTAGAGCCTGTGGCGGGGGGCACGGGACAGCTGAAGCAATGGGGCATTCAGCGTCAGTGCCAAGATTTTGGGGAACTGTCGGAGTGGGCGCGCGAGATGAGAGCGAGCGACAACGAGGGCATCACACGATAGTGTAGGTGATCAGGACATGACTGAATGGCCACCTGGAAGCCACATTGTCAGGTATAAGGGGCAGTCAAAAATCCCCGAGACAATTCTCATTCGGCGCATGGTGAAACCCGAAAATTAATGGTTGACCCTTCATTTTCCATTTCCCATTTCTATGGCATCGACTTGTGTGACTCTACACTGTAACAACCGAGCCTCAATGTTACGACCACGCTCGAATATCCAGATTTATTATTGTTTGTGTCTTTCTTCAAGTACTATCAGGCTATTGTGAGTTGTGGCAGGATACTCTAGCATGTTCCCTTTCCCTTCGTCTAGGCCTCCGTCGCCCATTAAAAGGGCGCGTACATCACCGTTCCCCAAAATGCGGCTTCTAAATGTCAACACAAGGCAGCTGGAAGAGTTCATTGGAACAGACAGACCGCCCGCCGTATGCCATTCTATCCCCTGGGGCAACAAAGAGATCTCCTTCTAGGAGCTATCGAAGCAAGCAAATATAATTCTTGATAGGAGTTTAACCCAACTACCTCTAGATAAACTTGGGAAATGAAAGGTTAGAGCGGCCGCAGTCTCAGAAAGCTGAACTAAAATCTTGAAGCTAATGTCACTCCACTTCAACCGTATGCCTCGATTGGATAGGCATCGGTATAGTGCCGGTCTTGAATATGTAATGTTGATCTGCATCTCACAATTCGTTACGACCTAATGCATGCGGGAAGAATAAGGTTTATAACTTCGTTGGGAACATTGAAGGGGGCCACCTACGTGCAGGAGGAAGGTATGTGGTAAATCAAGTATATATTACATAGTACCTTATGTATGTAGATGGGCACGGTACACATATGATGGATGCGACTGCTATTTCATCAACTTGGAGAAGGAGCAAGAGCCTACATAGGGGCGGGAACAAAGAACAAACGGGTGTGGTGTATGTATGACGTATGCACGTATTTGCCCATAGCCCGCCACTTATGACGTTTGATATCTCCATACCTACATGTTGACTTATACCGAAGGGCCTATTAATTATGGACAATCCTTACCTTCTAGCTGACATCTTCATCAACTTTTAGACTCATCGTTAAACTGTCAATCGAAGAACACTAGACATAAATCATCTTGACTACCATGTCGTCGAATAGCTACAGCTTCAGCTCTTCTACAATGTCTTTCTCATCTTCTACTACTCGCAACGGGCAGACCACTGGGTCCCGCTACGCCGAGCATACCGCAAGTGACCCATCGGGCACCACCACTCACACTGCGTCGCAACGTATCGGCGAGCCCCTCCATCATGAGCGCCGCGATTACGATGCTTCGGGTCGTCTGGTTTCTTCCTCAGACCGAGCCCTAAACGGGAGCGGTATAGATCCAGACCGCCGTATTGAGGATGTGTCTGACGAACAACGGGAAAATGACAAACTCTATGAAGAGCGCATCGAGGATGAGTATGCGAAGAGAGAGGGAGGTGCATGAACTAGGAGATTGGTTAAGGGGGTAGAAGATAGCAGATCATGTATACTTGGACATAATGGATTTAGTCTTTGAACAAGAATACGGCTTCTTTAGTGATATATGATATATATGTTCAATCTGGTAGATTTAATGATTCGTATTTGACATCGTTATTTTATGAGGTTCTGCGCAGCTTTATTTATTTGAGTAGAAGTTATGTCGAAGATACATGTTGGGATGACTACTTCAGATATGCCGGTACTTTCCAGGGACTAATACCGCTGTCAAAACATCGGGTGGTACCCAAAATTGGAGCCTAACTGTACCGGGAACGTCACTATCGCCGGGCCCCACTATAGCTTCTGACTCGTCGCGTGAGGTTTCCGATTGCATCAATTTATTGATTTTTTCCTCTTTAAACCTATCCCCCTAAATACCTCCTTACTACCCATGTACTTAACCTAATGCACAACATATTCATTTTCTCTGGCGCTGCCATCTCACCAAGTCATGGATAATGGTGATGGTGATGGTCAGTCTCGGTTCTGCCATGACGGGAAAGATGGCGAGAAAGCCGCAGGACCGGACAGCAAGGACATCTATGTTCAGCTTGTAATCTCGCTCGCCTTAGGTATCTCAGCCTTTGTCGCCTTCTGTGTAAGTAGTCGACAGTAGTCAATCCCGCCTAGGTCCTAAAGCTAATTGTCACGAGTAGATCCTAAGACCTCGGTGGAAGACTCTCTACGCCGCTCGGAGACGTCACTATGACCCCCAGATTGCGCTCCCTGTGCTTCCCGACAGTTTCTTTGGATGGATACCAGCATTATATAGAATTACAGAGGAACAGGTGCTGGCATCTGCAGGCTTAGATGCTTTTGTGGTAAGTATTATACCAACCTAGAGCTTGATCAATGGGGTTGCTTATAAAGTCTTAGTTTTTATCTTTCTTCAAGATGTCGCTCCGCCTATTTACTACCATGTTATTTTTCGCCCTTGTCGTTCTTTGGCCTATCCACAAGGCTTTCAATGCCGGCACGACTCAACCGCCTAGCGAATCCTTCGGAGATGCTTCTATATATATGAACTTGGTACCGCGAGACGGAAACTATAGTCTGAGCGGCATGGATAATATTCTGACGAAGCCCGAACCTGAGGATAAGAGCTGGAGCTTGCTATGGGCTCCGGTCTTCACTTGGTTATTCTCATTCCTTACAATTTACTTCATGGATTCCGAGACCATAAAAGTTATCAAAGTAAGGCAGGACTATTTGGGTACCCAGTCAACAATAACCGACCGGACATTCCGGCTGACGGGAGTTCCCGAAGATATCAGATCAGAGGAGAAGGTGAAGGAGTTCGTGGAGAACTTGGAGATCGGACATGTGCGAAGCGTTACGTTGTGTCGGAACTGGGCTGAAATAGACGGTCTGATGGCCAAACGGCAAATCCTTTTACGAAAGCTTGAAGAAGCATGGAGTGTTTATCTAGCTCGGAGACCACGAACAGAAGCGCCCAATAATCAGCAACGCCCAGACCCAGACAGGACTAGCCAAGGCAATGATGACGACGATGAGGAGTCGCAAGAGAATAGGCGTCTTCTCACCAGCGATGGTCTACGGGACCTTATGGCGGAGAGGGCGAGACCTAAAGTTCGTCTTCGATTCGGTTTCCTTAGAATACGAAATCGTAAAACCGATGCTATTGATTATTACGAGGAGAAGCTACGTCGTCTTGATGAGAAAATCCGTATCGCGAGAAGGAAAGAGTATACGCCAACAGATAACGCGTTTGTGACGATGGATTCTATTGCGGCGTGTCAAATGGCCATGCAAGCCACCATTGACCCTAGACCAGGACAGCTGCTATCGAAGCCCGCGCCTGCTCCTTCAGATGTGATTTGGAAGAACACTTATACTCCACGATACAAGCGTCAATTAAAATCATGGACCGTTACCCTCTTCATCACCTTCCTATCCATCATCTGGTTGTTCCCAGTAGCGGTACTAGCTCAGCTACTTAGCCTTTGTGGCATTTCGAAGGTAGCACCCTCCCTTGCCGAGACACTTTATGCGCACGACATTACGAGGGCTTTCGTACGGACAGGTTTACCTACTCTCGTGGTTTCGTTGCTAAACGTCTTGGTGCCGTACCTCTACGATTATCTTTCCAACAAGCAAGGAATGATGTCTCAAGGCGATGTTGAACTTTCCACGATATCGAAGAATTTCTTCTTCATATTCTTCAATATCTTTGTTGTCTATGCGGTCTCAGGTAGTGCGGCTCTATCGGATTTCTGGAAGATAATCGGAGATTCGCTCAGCGATACGCGTACCATTGCAAAGAAGTTGGCTATCTCGATACAAAACCTGAACAACTTCTACCTCAATTTCATCATGTTGCAGGGATTCGGTCTGTTTCCATTTAAGCTTCTACAATTCGGGGGCATCACGCTGTATGCCATCTATCGGATGGGAGCGAAGACGCCGCGAGATTTTGCCGAGCTTGTTCGACCCAGTCTGTTCAACTATGGGTTCTACCTCCCTACCGCTCTACTGGTGTTCATCCTCTGTTTAGTGTACAGCATCCTCCCCGGCGCGCATATTGTCCTGCTACTTGGCGTCTGCTACTTCTCACTTGGATATTTTGTTTACAAGTATCAATTGTTGTATTCGATGGACCAACCACAGCACGCCACTGGTGGCGCTTGGCCGATTATTTGCGGACGTATCATTGTTGGTTTAGTTGCATTCGAAGTTATCATGATTGCTTTCTTGGTACTGCAGACAGCCTTTATAGCTGCATCATTTATTGCACCTCTAGTTGTCTTGACTTTTTGGTACAACGTTTATTCTCGGCAGCGATATACTCCACTTACGAAATTTATCGCGCTTCGTAGTATTAAGCGCGCTTCTGATCCTGGTTCGGAAACTCGTCCCGATCGAGATCCAAACCAAGTACAACGGCAAACTCGACTAACGAGACGTATGAGCACCATTGACGAAGATAAGGAAAAGGGGATGAGGTTCATAAACCCGAGTCTTGTCGCCCCTTTGGAACAGCCTTGGGTGTATCAAGATCCACCACCACTTCTGCCAGAGTCATCTGTTAGCTCTGGCACGGGGAGTGTTAGCGGCAATGGCAGTCACAGGGAGGCATCGCTAAGAAGTAATGATGGGATGGGTAGCGTTTCTAGTTCCCTTAGTCTTGGAGATACCCATATTTGGCGAGACAGCAATGGTGATGACAACGTATGATGGCAATGAGAATTAGGACGTCTTATAATGAGAAGATTGAAATATTACTATACCCTATTCTTGACTTCTACTGTAGTATCCTGTTAGAACATTGATGTACTACTGTTTAGCTGTGCATCCGATATAGCAGTTCGTGATAAAAGAAACGAATATGGAAGAATGAGCGAAAGACGCTTAATATTAAATTCCATCTACTTTAGGTAGTCTTCTAGATTTATTCAAGGCCACATGCCGTCAAACATAAATAGCCAATCTTCCCAGTACCGATCATAGCGTCCCACAAGCCAGCTTCTTCCATCCCCTTGCCTTCCAACCTTCCACGGCCGTGTATATAAACCCTCATCCTGTAAGTGTCTCTTCAACGCCACATTGATACTAAAGCTGCTCGGACTTACTCCGATGAAGTAGTCGCAGTTTAGTAGCACCACGAAATCGACTAACGCTTGCTGGTCCCAGCTGAACGACTTCAGCTTCTCCAGCTTCTCGTCTCCCTCGTCTAGTAGGTCGTACTTGGACCTAACCTCTAGCTGTAAGGTTGCCATGGCCTCCGCGCCAAACTTCCTTGTTTCTGTCTCATTACCCGAGGCTATGTACGCTGCTCGCCCTTGGTACCCCTGACTCGCGGCCTCGCGCAAGTAGTTCTTGGTCTGGTTCTCGTAAGATGGCCATCGCGATAGGGCATCCGCTTCGGTGCGCAGGTGTACGCCGAGAAACGATTGGCCTGCTACGGTTTCGGTGCCCCGTGTTGAGGTGGCGAGCGTCCTCATCGATGCCGCGATGGCATCTGCGACGGCTAGGATGTCGTCCCGGATCTTCAATAGCCCGCCGAATGTTGCCGCAAACTCGGGCCCGTCGCGATACACGGGCCAGTCCCATAGCACGCCCCAGGAGAAGCGGATCAGTCGCGGGTTGTCTATATCGTTGGATGGCGCCCACCCGCGCTCTGCTGCCGAGCTCCGCAGCCATTCCCGAAATGCACCCCCGAACCGATCCGTATGCCGGTTCGGATCCCGCTGATCGCATCCGGCGCGGCTGCCTCCGAAAGTCTTAGGCATCACTCGCTCCACGATCTGGTCAATACCCCGGTTCGCCTTGGAAGCTTTAGCCCGCGCGCCAGGCACGTCTTCAACGCGAGCGTACACAGTGATGCGCGGACAAGCATCCGCCATAGCGCTCCGGAAATGCGCCTCGTCGAACATGTACCCGAACTCCTGGTACTCGTGGAACAGGTTAGCCGGGTTGGAGGGCGAGCGGGTCTGGATGCGCGGTAAGACCAGTGCGGAAGCGCCCGCATCGACTGCGTACCGCACGCATGTCAGGATGTAGTTCCGGATGTTGCCCGGTCCGCCGCTATTGTTGTCGCAGAGAAACGTTAGACCGGAGATATATGTGGTTTCAGCGCAGACACGTCGGAGGGGCCAGGCGACGAAAGGAGCCCGTGCGCTTGAGAGGTCGATATTAGCATCTTGTTCCCTGTCGTGGGTTTGTAGATGCTGTTGTTGTTGTTGGTGGTGGTGGAGTAGCGCCGACACGGATGTAGGGGTGTCCCGGTCAGGGGCCGGTAGAACACGATGGTTCCAGATGAAAAGTACGAGGAGGCTAACTGAGCTGAAGAACAGTAGCACTGCAGCCCTCCGACGGGTGGTTGCTGTCTTGTGCTGCCGAAGCGCCATTGATGCGTCGGTGCGACCTTTGCTAACTGATAGGTATCGTCATTCGTATCACATGCCTCTTACGGCTCGCATTAGCAAGTGAGGCCAAGACTTTATTATGGTGTTTAATAGGAGAGATTCTACTTTCCGTCCGTAAGAGAGGAAAGAATTAAAGCATGGCGTGTCACAATTGAGATGTTAAGCCCTGGATGTCTTTCATGATAGAATAGTTCCATTTTGGGATTTGCGGAATGTAGACCCCGAAGTTGCTCAATTAAGACCAATTAACCTAGTAAAGTCACATGTTAGTTATAGGAAATAACTTATCGCATGTTATTATAAAAAGGAGTAGTGGCCGTTCTGGGTACCTAAACTTGAATAGAATTGTAGAAACCATCGTGGGCATTTCCTGCCCCATATACTATAGGTATAAGATGACATTTTAGACAGTCTACGAAGTAGCCTTGGTCTTATTAATGTTTACGTACTATAAAAGCGCCTTAGTAAACCTAGGAGCTTGCATTTTAACTTGAGGACATTTAGGCTCGGGTGGCTTAACTCGATCATTTATCAGAGATGCAGGGTGTTGGAAATCTTATAAAACAATTGGGAATGAAAGTTTCTAATAAGATGTAATAGAAAGCTACTTTCGGCGCTATGATTAATTGCCAATTCAATTATTGGTCAGAGTTAGCGACTACTAAAGATTGAAGGCTGTGTTGCTATACAACTGTAAAGTTAATAGTTTAGTTACAAGGCAAATCGAACAACCTTCGTTCCTCTAAATGTGTTAAGGTTCGCTGTAAATCATCGGGTGGCTATGACTTGTTACTCAAATACAGTTCTGGAGGTGTTGGCGACAGTGCGGTCATTAGAAGTAAAGCAAGAGTCCTTGTATTTGGGCCTTTGGCGGTTAAAGGGGGCGGTGATAGTCAGCGGCAGCGTTCTATATTTCATCAAGTCTTTTCCCTTGTATAATCGGTAAAGAATTATTGAACCCAAGAAAGAGTGGATGAATAGGCTAGGCTAGGTAGATTGATAGCTATAGTAAGATTAGGGAACTATCTTAAGCGAAAACGACGTGATAATGTGTTTCCCTTACATCCTTAATGGACCATGCTTGGAGGGGAGATAGCTAAGTTCGGCGTTAATGGCATGCTTCATCAGAGCGTCTTTCCCCATGAGGAAGGTTGGATAACCGTGCTCTTTTGACTCCCCACCAATATTGAGTCCCGTGAAGAGTTTAACCAATCCCTTACTTATAGAACTCCCTAGTTACCGTACCTATCTAAGCTATAAGTACGTCTCTGACTCCCAGGTGGTCATCCATGACAATGATAAAGTATCCGCGTGGCTACGATGAGCTTGGCATATTGTACGACTGAGCTGTGTATTTAAATCTTCATGATACAAATACCTACATTTCCCACCTCTAAATTTCTCGTGAGTTCATCTTTGGTAGATAAATTTCCTTGTTTTGTATCTCCACCTATCCCTGAATCATGGTTGACTTGTTATCTCCCTAGGTCCAACGAAGCTCACACATACATCACCGTCCGCGCACGGACATTAGCTGAGATTTGACACGCCGACTATCATGGCATCTCCTTTCTTACCTACCTATTATCCCATAACTCGTTTACGTCTCAATGTCCCCTCCTTCTGTCTTATCGCATCCCTAGCAATGTCAAAATTGGCAAATACGTTACCGATAGTCAATAAAACCATCCCGGACTACACTACCTCGGAAGCGGGTAACCCTTTCGTGGATGGCTGGTACGCTGACCCTGATACTGAGATATATGACGGTCTGTATTGGGTATATCCAACGGCCTCATATTCATATGAAAAGCAGACATATCTCGATGCCTTCTCTAGCCCGGATCTAGTTCATTGGACAAAGCATCCCAATATCTTAACAACTGACGATGTGACCTGGGCCAATAATGCTGTGTGGGCTCCGGCGCCAATCTACCGTAACGGAAAATACTATCTATACTTTGGTGCTAACGACATCCAAGAGGACGGACCTGGTAAGGGGCAGATTGGGGGGATTGGAGTGGCCGTCTCGGACAACCCACAGGGCCCGTACGTTGATGCGATTGGAGCACCGTTAATCGGAGACTATCACAACGGCGCACAACCAATCGACCAAGACGTCTTTATAGACGACGTCGATGGACAAGCCTATATATACTACGGGGGACATTCGCATGCCAACGTAGCCAAGCTTAACGAAGACATGATTTCCATCGGGACGTTCGATGATGGAACACAGTTCAAGGAAATTACCCCCGAGAACTATGTCGAGGGCTCTCAAATGATCAAGCGCAACGGCATTTACTATTTTATGTGGTCCGAAGGCGTTTGGACAGGCCCAGACTACTCTGTTTCGTATGCCATGTCTAACTCGCCTTTGGGCCCCTTCAACCGACTCGCCAAAATCCTACAGCAGGACAGTGCAGTGGCTAAGAGCAGCGGGCATCATGGTGTTATCCACATTCCAGATACCGATATATGGTATATCGTGTACCACCGTCGTCCGCTGAGCGAGACTGACGGTAATCATCGTGTTCTCGCATATGACCGCATGTATTTCAACGACGACGGAACGATCGAGCCGGTTAAAATGCTCGTCAAAGATAACTTCGCCGACGGAGAAATGTACGGTTGGAAGACATACGGCGGGGAGTGGGGAGTGGTAGACCAACGACTCACCGTCGCCAAAACAGCTGAAGCTAAAGCCCTGCTGGACACTGATTTCACCGATCTGGTGTTTGATGCAACTATCGCTGTTCAATACGGAGATGGAGACGCCGGGCTCGTGTTCCGGGCTACCGATGTCTCTACTACCTCCGATCAGTTCAAGGGGTATTACGCAGGCATCTCGTCGGCTAGCAGAGTCACCCTCGAGAAAGCGGATAGCGAAACATGGACATCGCTGGGCGAAAGCGATACCAAGGTCTCCCTTGCGACCGAATACCATATCAGAGTTACGGCTGTCGGCGGAGATATCAAAGTATTCGTGGATGACTTTACAGAGCCTTTGATCAGTGTTACGGATAAGTCGTTTGCTAATGGTGCGACCGGCGTGAGAGCTCACAATGTCGCTGCTAGGATCGGTAGTGTTTCCGTTCAACGGCCTTAAGAGTACTGGGAGCTACTTCGCTGCGTACCTACCTTTTATGGTAGACACTTTTGAATATATTTTATAGTCATATGTAATTTGGATTCTCTAGATACTTGATGACTATTAACATAGCTCACCGAGCTGTTGTGACCACTCCCAATCCGCAGACCAGTTGACGTTCTCTGTAGTTTCGCGATGCCGAGATGACTGAAAGATAGAAACCGGTTACTCAATTTAGACACGGCCGTATATTTCCATCTACGCCATCCAGCACAGCGGATTGGTTATCAACGGTATGCTAATGGTGTATGGCATGCCTCCAACTTCACCGCATTTGACTATCGATTCCTTGCATAGTCGTGGCGTCTCTACCAAATTCTATCCGCTGCTTATCGCCATGATATTATCGAGGCTCATTTACTTTGTCGTTCGATGAAAGCCTACAGTATATAAACGAACTAGTCTTTCGATCATCACCCTTCCCATTATTTTTCAGGGCAATCAAAGCCCAGGGGCTCCTCATAGCCTAGATTATTTCTTTGGATAGTTCGAAAATAACTTTCTCGACCCCACGACGAAGTATACCACGCCCTGATGCACCTGGCTACCCCCTGACGTGTTTATGGCTTATAGCCGGTACATCAGCAGACCGCCCTCGCGCCTTACTCGAGAAGGTAACCAACCAATATGTCATAGCCAAAAGCACTGACCAACCTTGTCTCCTTACCCGATTCACGGGCGATCTCAAACATATCGATGACGAGACTCCCTTACAAATCACTATCGGTGTGCTATCGAAGCCCCTAAAACCCGACCATGCTTTCAGTATCTGATACAACGCTCCGTGCCACCTTTTCGGAGCTCATTGTCGCCACCACATCACAGCAGTATGTGATTGGCACAACAATGCTATTTACTAACAGCATGGTAACTACGATTGAGTCGATAGTAGCCGTCAAAGGCGATTGGGGGTTCGATGACTCTGGAGGTGTAGATGGCTATTTGCATTGGACTTCGCTTGAATCATGGGACCGCATTCTCAAGGACAATCATGACAGCCGAAAGGTGATCCAAGCCGCTGGGGATTTATACTTCGATTCCTTTGCAAACGAAAATGTCGGCGTTCCGTTCGGCATGTCTTGTGCTCGTCTTGAGGGTAGAAAATACACCGACCCGAACGTTACTGGAGGCAATACCTGTCTACTCGGCTACCCCTTCGACGCTGACGTGACGAACCGCCGATACATTATCGATGAAGAATTAGATACGCTCAATATGTATCTTGTTTTCCCGGGGCTCGATCGCTCTAGACCAGAAATACCTCTTCCCGATAACCTCACTTTTAGGGTCGAAGAAGGGCTTATTAGATACATCCATACTCCCTTAGCTTATGTGAACGCTGGGTGCGGATTGAACTTGAGTATAACTACCCAGGGACATCCGCCATTCCAGATTAACAAAGACTTGTAGTAGCTTTCGTCCTAGTATTCGCAGAGTTGGCCATAGCTACAAGTCGTCTCTGTTTGGAAACCTGATGGCTGGGATGTTGATATCTAGCGAGGAGGGAAAATAGAATGCTCTTGCTAGTAATAGGGTAGTATGATTTAGTTTATGTCTTCGCCATGACCTTGGTGCATATTTAGATAGGGGTCAAGCCGTGGGTGCACATGAATGAAAGTTATGAGGCTATCAGATACTTACAAGTTTACACAAGGTATAGTATGATAGTAATTATGCCTGCTGCTAGGTTTATCATTCGACTGTCAGGTCAGTTCAAATAACTGTTTGTTAGGAGCTTGACCGTAAATGAACCAGGTTAACTACCTGGGTATATTGGCTTCAGCTTCTCTTAAAGTTAAGCTATAAACTAATCTTCCGGACTCCCTAATCCATAGTTTAATATATATAAATGTACCACAGAAGGATCTACGTCGGGAGGCACCCAAATATCCAACTTATCCCTAACAAAGGCCGCGAAACTAGGATGTAGGTTTCTAGAGGCCAGATCCTTCCGTGTGACCCATTCTACATTTATTATCTCATTTGTATCCAGCTTTAGGTCGGATATGTCGAAGTGCTTCTTCGGATCAGCTATAAAAGTAGTGTATGACCAACCTCCATGGTTATCGATTGCTTGTCCAACGGGCCATAGAAACTCTCTGATATTAAGTCCAATCTCCTCCATAACTTCTCGTTCCATGGCTTGCCGGGCTGTTTCGCCTTTTTCTATAGCTCCCCCTATTGTGCTCCAGGTCAAAGCGTGATCGGACCACTCTGCTCGCTGACCGAGGAGCATTTGTACCTCGCCTGATGTGAGGTATCGGTAAACTAGTAGACCTGCGGCACCGCGACGGCCCCAGTGTTTACAGCCCCGTGCGCATGTGAAGGACATCTTTTTCGTTCAGTCTTATGATAGTTCTAGTATTCCCCGTGTTGTAGCAATATCAGCAGTATAGAAGAATAGAGGAATCAAGAGCTAGATGTTGGTTTATAGATTAAATGGTTAAGCAAATCGGTGTTTATATGAAATAAAATTGAATATTTGGATTCCAGATAAGATACCTAGGAACAAAGAATACTTTTAGCATGTGCAGCTACGAGCTTCTATAGTTATCTAATGCTCACAGTTTCTTGTGGAACAATGAAGTTGTTTCTATGCCTTCTAGTTTCACCTCGTTATACTTTATAACCTCTAGAAAAAATGTTACAGAATATGGTGTTTGTTTTATCGATGTTCGAGGCGATAGGGGACATGATATAAGGGAAAGGAGTACAAGGACTTTGTTTAAGCCACTCATAAAGATTAGTGTCAGACATAAATGTCCGTCCGACATATAAAATGTAATAGAATAAAATCTGTTACCAAATAACCTTCCAGTGGTATAGCGGTTGTTCGACAATTAGTTTGGGTACCTACCTGAGCCATATGTTTCAGGTGGAAGTATTATGCTAGAAATTTGATCTAGCATAGTGTGAACTTTCAAGTTAGTGAATTATTTGGTAATTATCCAACATTGCGGTTTTAAGAGTATATCGACCTTTGATTGTGAAAGACTTACACGAACATTTCATATTTGAAAGGGTCATAGAGGAAGGATTATCTGCGTGCTTGGTAATGGCTCGCTATATAAGGCAAATTAGACGTCTGTTAGACATATTGGGTTGATTGCTACCTAGGTATTTTATGATTCTTTGGTTCCGAATTTAGATCCCCTATTTTCTGTCAGTTTGAACAGCAAGGTAAGATTTGTGACACTTCGATGCTAGTATACGCCCTCTTAATATAATATAGTCCTAGAACTCTGACTAGATGGTGAATATTGATATGGGTATAGTTCTATTCGACCTTGTGACATCCGAGTAACTCATCATCATCGTCATCGTCATCGTCATCGATGTACCTTATCAAGTCCATTACCCTTAATCAAACTGGAATCCTGTGATACAACGTTAGCTTTTCTAAAACTTGATTATTCTTCCTAGAAAACTCACTAATATGCCTTCCCATCCAAACCAGGTTAAGATCCAAGCAAACGTCGACATGCCGCCGTGCCATATATTCAGCTTCGGTTTCGGCCGTAGTAAATCGCTTACTACCTGTTTTGCGAACACTTCGGTCTCAGTACACGGCGCCTTCTTGAGGAACTCGCGGTTCTCTACGTGGCCCGCCGCAGCGCGGTATAGGCTGCCTTCAGGAATTTTCGTCGGCGCGTTATCGAATAACTTGGACCTCACGCTACCCGTCATCAGCGTAACGAATTTGACGCCTAGTGGGGCAAGTTCGACGCGAAGGGTCCGTGAAATGGCGTGCACGGCCGCCTTAGATGCGCTGTAGGCAACTTGGTACGGTGGGCAGAAAACCTCGTTAACACTTCCAACAGTCGCTACGGTGCCTTGTGCCTGGATAAGTAATGGGAGGAAAGTATGTGTAACGGCTAATACGCCTACGATGTTGGTGTTGACAACGCGTCTGAGGTCGTCAACCTTGGCGTCGGTGAAGGGCATCACATGGTTTATACCGGCATTGTTAATAAGGTAATCGAGAGTACCGTCGGTAGTTTTTTGTACGATGGCGAAAGCAGCAGCAATAGATGCGTCTGAGTTAACATCGAGCGCGAGAGTTTCGATGCCTTGTTCGGATAGTGACTGCATCTTACTCACATCGCGGGCCGTTGCGAAGACCTGACACCCTTGAGCATGGAACTCTAAAGCTAAGGCGGCGCCAATGCCACCTTCGCTGCAACCTGTGATAAGCATGGATTTGCGAGTCATGTTAGCAGCCATATCCTGGTTATACAAAACCTTTTATTGCATCCGTTTAAGACGTTAAGACGTCCTTAAGCAGAGTTGTCCCACCACTCACTCTGGTAGCGTGGATCATATAAATCTGGGGTCCCGAAATTTAAACAACAGATGCTTCAAACTGCGGGGATTGCCGAGCAGGGGTATTGCTGAGAGGTACAGGGGTAAAGGGGCTAAATCTTCACAGGTTCGAAAACAGAATACAGCAATGGAATGGAGAGAAGTCTCATAATTCATCTCATTTAACTTAATAATAGAATAATTGCCAATAAACGAGGAGATGAAAGGAACGCCGCGGTTACATTTCATTTCAGTTGTTGTCTGTGCTAGGTTGTACCTAGAGACTCTTAACTAGAATACAATGCTATTTGAACCCACGCGCATTTATTTGTAACTCTATTAAGTATCACCATAAAATTTCACTAGTTGCCCGCGTACCTAACTGACCCTTCTGTATGCCTTGTAGAAATCTATATCACTCTACATTAAGAAAACATTTGCAAAACGTGGCATTGTGGGATCCCTTAAAAGGGGTTCCATAATAGCATGGGGGTCTAGAGGGGCAGGACCTATTTCCTCGGATTCATCGTACCCGAGTGAGTGATCGATGATAGCTCGAAAGTCCGCAAGTGTAGCATCGGTATACCGATAGACTGGTATATTGGAATATTCTGGCGGATCTTCGACCGAGATACTAAAGACAACAAGGGGGCCCTTCCAAGTGAACTTTCCACGGCCGTGTTTGGCAACGGTCGTATAGAGGCTTTCCGTCGGCTTCGATCCATCGTAAAGAAACTTGTCCCGAAAGTGGAAATCTATAATGCGGAGTGTTGACTTCTTATGAACATAGTTCCAATGCACTCGATGCGCGTTAGCAATCACCCCAATGAATTCTCCAACTGAATCCGGATTTGGGTGATTCGGTTCTTCGGGCGTCTCGGAATTTTGGTTGCAAGGAATCCAGACGAGTTGTGGGACTGCCTTGTCTTGTGGAAAGTAGATAGCCCTAACGTGAAAAGGAGAGGGACGTTCCGAGTGAGTCGTCATGTCCTTGCACAGCAGCTTGTGTGACTTCCAGTCGGCTTTCTGGCACTCCTTCGAGCAATAGTGACAGCTCTTGCAAGAGGCGCAAAGCTGACCTCCCTCTTTCCAGCATACAGCGCACTGGTTGAGAGTAGGGTTGAGAGACATTTTTCTTGATAGAAGGCGTTGAACTTGTGGGTGTCTTGGGCTGGTATATTAGAGCCCCGAAGTTTATTAGGCGAATACGATAGAAATGATTGACTGAATGGATGAAGGACCAAGTCTCGACGAATTTAATACGGGTGGCGGAGGAAATTGAGGTAGAAATTAAGATTGAATGTCGGTATCTAGGTAAGCACTTTGACGAAAGTGATGTTTACCGGTTTTCTAGAAGAGAAAATGTACTGCTGCTGCGGACGTTGTTGAAAGTTGGTCGATGAATTGGATTCTTTGTAGGACTGCTTTCAGATATTGAATATGCAGCGTATCCTGCGCCTTCCTTAGTGGTGCCTTCTTTTTACGCTTAGACGAAAGAGGTTATATGGTAGCTTCTAGATGTCTAGGGTAGGCAAGGTCACGATAATAACCCTTTTGAATTGGCAGTTGCGAATAGGTACCTGAGGTAGTAGGGTATCCCGACTGCTCCCGATTCGGGTACTAGACCTTGAAGAAGGAGCTGGCGTCTGAGTATTGTTAGTTCTATATGCTATGCTAATAGAGAGGAAATAACTAGGATGAAGTAGTTCAGGTGGTCGTGGACTAACCGGAAGATAGGGGGGAAGAAAAACGGATATGTGTTAAAGGGGGATTATTTGGGGACGTCAGGGTCACGTTTGGGAAAAAGAGATCTAACGTATCGTTGAAAAATGCAACGGTTGATAGAAAGATAAATGTATCAAACCTATTATCAGGTGTAGCCATACTTACGGTAAGTGAGAAATGGGTTACAGTATCCCAGGCTTATCGTTTCTTGTGGTAACCAGTTTGATGATAGGTACTCGTTAAGAGAAGGTGGAATCATAGATAAGTCATTTCGTTCGATTCGTAAGTTCCATTTAGGGGTAATTTATAACATATAGTGAACAGTTACCTATATGCCTGACTTCCTGTAACGCCTCGCTTCAAGTACAATTTGGATACACTTAAGCGACAAGGTTATAAGAGATATGGCACACCAAAGATAACGACCCGACCCTTAGACTTAACCAATTTCACTCAAGCCATTCTAACAGCGCCTGGAACTCTGATAGGTGTCCAATATGCTCTATATAACCATCCGGTCGAATGTAGACATAAGAGGGCTTGGAACATCCGAACTGACCATGTAAATGGTTTCCAACATCGATATGCCCAGAATCACTCGCTCCCTCGGCCGCTTCGTCAAGGATCAAGTGCACCTTAGCTTCGTCCGAGTTTTTATTCGTAAAACCTGACTGCGCTTCCAGTATGGCTTGTTCCGTAATAGCATCATCGCCAACCCCTGAAAGAAGTACCAGATGATGCGTATCTGGCGTGATAAGCTCCAAGAATTGCCTTTCCTTACCCGCGCTCTTAATTATCTTGTCCGGAGCACGGTCGCCTCCCAACACCAGCCCCGAGTACCCCGATGCCGTACCCACCACGGAGCTGTCTCTGTAGTTGATTCCAAATTCGGATATGAACTTGAAGATATTGGCACGACGATTTCGGCTGCTGACAAACCAGGGCAACACCCATGAGAACAGAATATTGCGGAAGGAGATGAAGAAGGGGTTAGAAGAACAACCCCAAGTGAACATTTTATCGGAAGTTTCAAGTAAATGTTGGCCAATTGGACGGCGTTCGCGGTCGTAGCTATCGAGGAACGAATTTGGTCGCTTGCCCCGTATCACCTTCGCTAACTTCCATCCTAGGTTTATGGAATCTTGTATGCCGGTGTTCATGCCTTGAGCTCCAGCGGGGGAGTGGATATGTGCTGCGTCGCCCGCGACGAACAGACGACCGTCGCGGTAGCTATTCACGCCTCTGTGATGTAGATGGAACTGGCTGATCCAAGTAGGGTCGTACAGTTCACCCGCATCTGGATGAAGCTGATTTAACATTTCTTGAAAGTCTTCTAGTGTTGGTTCAACATCCACCTTAGGGTTTATGCGGGACACTACGACTCGACATGTGCCGTCTTTCAGCGGGAACACGGCAAGAGACCCTCTGCCCAGGCAAAGAGAGAATCGGTTCCAGGCTAGTTTGGAGTTCCTCACATGGGCATCGCAGAGGATGAAGTCCTGTGGGTAGGCCGCGCCTTGAAATGTAAGACCCTCAGCAGCACGTCGCACGCTGCTGTGCGCTCCATCAGCACCAACGACGTATTTTGCGCGAACAGTCTCCTCAACACCATCTGGGTTCTTTAGTTTCACGGTGACCCCGGTAGGATCTTGAACGATAGATGTTGCTTCGAGGCCTCTCTCGACAGCGAAACCATGCTTCGCAAGACATCCGTCCAAGAACGCCTCTGTTTCGCACTGAGAGATAATGAGGATTAGGGGGAACACCGAGTCTTCTACAAGACCTGATATATCGATGTCCGCCGCCTTCTTTCCGTTAAGATAGAATGTAGTGCCGCTGCTTAGATTTCCTTGTGAGACGAGTTTCCGAACATCTCCATGTCGATTTAAAAGTTCTAGGGTGCGTGGTTGAATACCTAGAGCCCTGGACTTGTCCGATCTCTGTAATTCCCTGTCGACGATGCGGAACGGTATCTTATGAATAGCCAACTCGAGCGCTAATGTTACCCCCGTTGGCCCTCCTCCTACGATTAAAACATCAGTTTCCTGTGCTGTCATGATATGCTGCGAATATCGGTCGAACTTTGTTGGAACAGTTGCACCAGCCAAGAATTAATGACTTTTATGGAAGCATGTCGAAAGTGGAGGCGGGATCTAAATCAAAACGCCATAGGTACCTCAAGCCATAGGTATGTACATAGATAGATGGACCTATGTATTGTTAGACTACATGTATCCTCCCTAAATGCCGCATGACGCGTCGGTGTCGTAGGATGATGCATCCGAAACGGTAGTTTAGTTAGTCTCCAGGAATGCTTCATCTTAACTTAAACCAGTCGAGGGCTATTTTAATCCAAATTAGGAATAGATAATCCCGGCATATGTAAGTGCGGCTCCAACCTTAAACATTTTGGAGATAGTTATTCCTAAAATGGTTCTGGAGGCAAAGTGGCTGAGATCTCTCAATAATGTAGTAGTGCCTTAGCAGGACGCGACGAACATCTACTATGTACCTACCTACCTAGGTACCTAACCTAGGGCCTATTGCTCGCTCGGTCCCGACGACCGCAGGAGTCAGCCGAAATAGCCAATCAACTCATATAATTATCAAGAGAAGGTGGCCATTTATAGGAATACATCTACCCATCCATAATCCGCTGAATCCGTGCTCATACTACTCAACCCAAGAATAGAGCTGTCGTCCAAATCTAGTAGGTAACTACCGAAGTACAGCCAACTTCGAAAGCTTCGCGGCGAATGCAACACCCTTTACACTCTCGTAGTTGTCGCGTAGTAGTCACAAGTAAATATTTCTACAATACCCCTCATAGATCGATTAACAACCTTGAATAGCCCTAAGTAAGGAATTAGAAAAGGCTTAGTAGGTTATATTCGAACTCTTCTTTAAGTTACGCAGCTAACCAAATTATACGAGACATTCTAACACGTAGAGACTGGATATAGTAACACTTCTAATAGGGGTTTAATACTTGTTAATAATTCAAACCTTTATTAACCTCTGATAACCTATGTCGACCATATGCCTTGCCTGGATATTATTTTTCATGGGAATGGGATGCAATACGATATTTTCAGTAGACGTAATTCATGAATACCAATTTCTTGCGTCAAAAACAAGATCGAGAAGATGGCTCTTGCGGAAGATCGGATGGTCTTGACTTCAGAAAAAGCAGACAGTAGCTTGGGATTATAACCTATTGGCACATGTCATTTAAGACACATCATTCGATGAAGATAACGACATGTGAAATATTACCGTCGTAGCCTTTCTAAAGTTAGTTATGGCCCCTTTCTCGCGTTGACCGTTCATCATCCGTAATGAAATTTAATGACCGAATCGCGAAACATCACCACATCATTCCACGTACGAAGGCTTCTATGCTAGCTATTCTTAGATCAGATTAACCCTAAATATAAACATTCTTTGACATATATACTCGATAGTGCGATCCGGATTACATCGGCGACTCCCCGGCACTACATCTAGCCCCGACCGTATTCTAGGTCCGAATGAGTCCTCTCACGATTATTACCAAGACACTTATGTTCCTAGAGCCTACTAGACTTATGGATGGGAATATCGAGTTATTTAGCCGGGTACAAAAACATTCATATGTCTTCTAGTGATACATTCCCGAATGTGTGGATTTCAGGGGCGATACTTTTCCCCCCCTTTTGCTTATTACGCTCTCTTGGTTCCATTTGTATTAAATGTACCCAGTTTAGCAATTATGAACTTGGTGATATAATGATTGGGTTTACTCTAATACCAAATAATGCCATCGTGTCGTCGTTGTCGCAATCTGTTTTTCATGAGTCGAAGGGTCACTCATTGCAAGCCTACTCCATTTACTCGGTCTCCTTTCCTTCAAGTTCTCCGTGGACCTTGTAAGTAGGTCTGTATTGGCGCTTATCGACGGTCTCGTTCCCTTCGAGCTCTTTGTGGACTTTGTACGTAGGCCTATATTGACGCTTTTCCGCATCGGCTACTTTGCCCTCCAGTGCTGCGTGTACCTTGTACGTAGGTCTGTACTGACGCTCGCTCAACTCGGTAGGAGCCTATTAAATGGTGGTTAAACTTCAATGATCACAGAAGGATAGGTAGTATAGCTAGTCAAGGTTACCTCAACAGGTGCTGCCAATGTAACGGCAGCTAGGCCGGCTAGAAGGAGAGCTAATAGACGCATTTTTAATTATTGGAATCGATTGCTCAAGTTATAAGATGGAGCACACTGAGCTATAAGTTATTGGGGGGATAATGCAGTATTATATAAAGAAAGGTGATGTATTCAGACTCGTGTTTGACAGAATGTCGATATCGAATGAAGCTTTGGAAAACTTGGGCTATACTCATCGGGGTAAGTCTAGATTGTATACGGTCCGATGCTCCTCGCATACATCGCTGAGCCTTACCGACCTCCCTTAGGTTGGTGGAGTCGACGCACCCGGCAGCACGGCTATTTGTTTCCTGATATCACGTATCCCAGACTAACAATGACAGATCTTTGCTGTTTTGGTATTAAGTCATGCACCTCATTTATCACCGGTTACTACGTGATCTTGCGTCTCATTCGTGCAAGTCGCCTTGGGAGTAATTGTAACTCTTTCCTGGGTAGAACAAGTATATTAAAATGGTCGAACTCGCAGCATTAGTTGGCTCACGTGTCCACGAACCGTCAACATAATCCATGTTTGCGCCATGTCTGCGATGCAACAGCGTAACTTTGATATTCCTAATATGTTCCGCAAGGTAACGTTATTCTCAAATCATGTATTCCGTAGTACGAAACTTGCATGATTCGGTCAGTGTTGACACCATTTAGGGACTAGCCGATCGACTGCTTCTGGACCCGGTAGGGGTCCTTCGGTAGTACCCTGTGAAACCCCCTTCTCCAGAACCCATTATTTTCTAGAAAAGTAAATTTCGAAGAAAATAAAGCTATATGTTTCTCATTCGAGCACCGAAGTAAAGTGTGATCGTGCTACGATATCTGTTAACACAGGCGCCAAGTCCTCCCTATATCGTCCAAGGCCCTTATAGAGTTACACCATCATTGCCAACCCCTCCGCCACATCCGAAAACTTTTGAATTCGGCCGCACGAGATTCCGATATAAACGATTGAAGCCGATGGGGCAGTCAAGTAAGGGGTATCGTATACTCCGCATTTGCCTTGCTGGTAAATGTCCCGCTTAACTGCGGACAAGGATATCGAGGTGTACGACCTTAGAAATTTACATATGGACCTAGGCATATCTCCGCAGACATTTTTACGTGGACTTATCCTATTATCAACACCTTCTTTCACGATGGAGGATAGAGACGAGGAGGTAGAGGGATTATTGGGCGAAAAGCTACTAGCAAACGAGTCAAAATGGCGACGCTTATCTGCAAACACTATGCTAATCATAACAAGTCTAAATATCATCATATTCTTGATATCACTCGTTCTCTTCTCGGCATCATTAGGCCATAGGTCCCAGCTCAACTTCGAACTACGACAGGCGTCTACTTATAGTAAGATAACGGGCCGAGTCTAATTCAATTAGACTTTTATATAATAGAGGCGATAGCTAAAGGAAATACATAGGCCCCGTCTTCGACAGATTAGACTTGGAAATGAAGCCGAGGGCGATTCAAGGGACACTATTTCCAGCCAAAGACAGTGCTTCGATAGCACGGGAGCTTCCTAATGCCGCGGCGGATGAGATTTGGGAAGAATGGGAATTGAGCCGTTTCTATCCCCTGACGCGGGACGAGATTGTGCGGATGGGAAAGGACCCGTCGACCGTCCCGAAACTAGAAGACTCCGAGTGGGGGCTGGGCGACGACGCCTATGTTGGTGCCTTCGATGTATACCACCAGATTCACTGTCTCAATGCTCTCCGACAGAACGCCTACCGCGGGTACTACAAGTTAACAACCCGCAACCACTCGGTCATGGGTTTACCAGAGATTCACATTAATCACTGCGTCGATATCCTTCTCCAAGCATTGCAGTGTAGTGGAAATGTGAACTTTATGACATACCATTGGGTCGCTGGTCAAGACTACCCGCAACCCGATATGTGAGTCTGCAGCCACCCGTCTATCTAGGCTTGACGCACTTCAGCTTCGAGAGGAACTGACAAACTCTTGGAATCTAGGTCGATTAATCGGCAATGCGTTGATTTTGAGAAACTTACTGCATTTCGGAAGGAGAATGGGCTCGACTTAGATAAGTATGTTAAAATAATGAAAAAGTCGTTACATCCAGGGGTAAAGGAGAGACATCAAAGTGATGCATACTACTATTGGTACAATGAAACGAACCCCAATCATATTGACGGGGCAAACCCTGGGGAAGATTTCAACATGTAAATAAATATACGATACTCATCTACCTTTTTGTTCAAGTACCGGTTCTACAGTTGAGTACCTACATATCTAAGCGGCGTCCCTTAGAAATATATTATATACTTCTACACTACGACGCATCTCTATGAGTAAATGATATTCTCTGTCCATCTGCTAAATATCATGAGGGTTTCAATGTGATTGGAGGCAATCTAAGTAGTAAGACTTGTCTCTTGTGTGACTTTCTTGCTGGGTCATAATTGATTTTCTTTTTTTAACCCCTCCCCCTTTTTAAAAGCAGGATTGAAAAAAGGGGAAGCCCCCCGCCCCCCCCTCACAAAAAAAAAACCCTAAAAAAAAACCGCATGAGTGACCGTTATTAAGGCTCAGTTTGAGACTAAACTCAGAGGTCTCGCGCAATTTTGACCATTTGAAAATGATTGTAATATATCATATCTTCAATCACTTTCATCTAATATCTCAATCGTGTTGCAAGGTCCCTTTTTATCTGTCGCTACAGTGCGCTCGATTTCATCCATCCTCGAGACAAATTCGGTTTGAAGTCGCTTAAGATAACTCCCAAGTGCGGCGTCATCCATATCTGACTCTTGCAGTTGAAGAAGTGTGTCGTGTAAATTCAAGATTAACTTTCGACGCTGAAGAAGCTTTCGGGACTGTGAGTTTTGCTTCTTTCTTTCGATACTCTCCGCAAGCGTTTTCGAGACATCCTCAGCAATTTCAATGAATCTTTCTGGGAACCCGATCGCACGTGCAAGATTTAAACCATAATGCTCTTCTTGGACCTGTCCCGAAGTGATTTTATATAGCATGGTCATTTTCGGATTGCCGCCATCCGTCTCATAGATTTCGGTAGCAAGATGTAGATTCAAAACTCCAGGTCTATTCCCCAATACTTTCGCTACCAATCTGATAAGCAAGTATACAATCGTTGGCGTCGGGATTCTTACTAAGCTGTTGAAAGTGAGTTGAGAACCATATGAGAGAATTGCTTTGAATCAATGCCTCGGATATAGCCATTGCTATCGCAAGTCCATCCCTTGTACTAGTTCCGCGCCCAAGCTCATCGATAATTGCGAGGCTCTTTTCATTAATATTCCTATACTAATATTAGATTCCATTCACCAAAGCCAAGTATAAATCCAATATACCTTAGTATAAATGCCATTTCTCGCATTTCAAGCGAGAATGTCGACATATTAGCTTCAATACTATCATCTGTGGACATTCGCACGAAAAGTTGTTGGATCACCGGAAAAGCTGCATACTGGGCAGGCACAAAGCAACCCACTTGAGCCATCACTTGCAGCAGAGAGATCATTCTGATATAGGTACTCTTACCGCTCATGTTGCAACCGGTGATTATTTGAAAGCGGTGTTGTTCGTTTGCGAAGACATCGTTGGGCACAAATCGTTCTGGGTTTACCTATAATTTGTTAGACTTGAATAACACCGTTGACAAAGTAATATAATTATCTACCCGTTCGCAAATGGGGTGTCTAGCTCCTTTGAGGGCCAGTGCATTGCCAATTTCAGGCCGGACATAGTCTCGAGTAGTAGCAGATTGGCCAAATGATGCAATCATATCTAATAGAGCAATACTTTCGCAGACACGAAAGAGATTTGGTATATGTCCTCGGATTGCTTCTAGAAGCTCTTGGATAACCTTGTCGCTAAGCATAATTGCTTCGTTATGTGAATCTGTAATACGATGGTTGAATTGGATTAAAACCAGAGTTTGGCATTGAATCCAAGCTCCCTTGCGGACCCTGTTTATGAGGACTTCTGGAATTGTTCGATCTTCAAAATCGCTTTGCCTAAGCTGTAACCAATACTTCCGGTTGGCGTCAAACTTCAGCTCCGCGGTAATATCATGTTCCTCTATGTTACATAAGCTAACGGACTGTCAAACCTAATAATTACCATGGAAACTTACCATTGACGTTTTCAACGTGTTGGTGGACATCGATTGTTGCCTCTTTGTATGTTTGACGAGCAACATCCAACAGTCCATGCACTCCGGACTTTTAAATGTCAGGTTTAGTCACAGAGTAGGCCTGTAACTGGGGGTAACTTACTTTAACAGCATATGTTCTCTGATTCCTCATATCAAGAGGTGACTTTGTCGCTACTGCATCCTCATTGATTGTAGCTGCAATGAGATCCATGGCAGGTCGAATTAGCTCGAGGCGGCAGATTTCGCGGATTCTAGTTAGTAGATCCGTACGTGCTGCCCCTAGTGCCTCATATATAGTAGGGACGGCTGTGATGAAGGCTTTGATTCCAAGAATATTATTGATAGCCTGCTCTGAAGCGTGAATTGATGCCTGATTGGGTACAAAGACAAGCTTTATTTGGTTAGCTATCTGGTTTAAATGTTAAATATAAGTAGTCATATTTACCATAGTCAGTAATTTCTCCACGTCTACAAATCCCTTAAGGGCTATACTAAGTTAGTGTAGTGTTTAAAAATTGAGGTATTGGCTTTTACCTTTCCGTATTTCAAAGAACATATCTTCTTTCACAGTAAGCTCATCTAGAGCATCGTAGCGAGGAATAAGCGTATTATCGACCTGACAGGAGGGCTGAAGTATGTTGCTTCGTAACATTCTCGAACCCATAGGGGTAAGAGTCTCGTTCAAGAGCCCGAAAAGGCAATCCTTCGACTTTGCGTCCTGGAGGTTCTGTATAAGCTCAAGGGAATGGATAGTGGAAATGTCGATCATCATTGTATTTTCCGACGGCTGATACTTCACCCGAAGCGAGTGGGACATAATAGATACGCGACAAGAGAGCTCGATGTACTTGACTGCCTAATTATTATGAGCAGACAC